AGATGAATACAAGAATAACACCAAAGAGGTGAGCTAGAGCTCCAAGAGATGTGTTGTCAAGACTGAAGAACTCTTCAGCCTCGATTCCAATATATACGCCTATTCAGGAAGCTTCTCAAGCAACTTCTACCAATTAAGAAGCTTCTTAAGCGACTTCCACCAACTAGGAAGCTTCTCAAGCAACTTCTACCAATTAAGAAGCTTCTCAAGCAACTTCTATCAACTAGGAAGCTTCTCAAGCGACTTCCACCAACTAAGAAGCTTCTCAAGCAACTTCCACCAACTAAGAAGCTTCTCAAGCAACTTCTATCAACTAGAAAGCTTCTCAAGTAACTTCCACCAACTAAGAAGCTTCTAAAGCAACTTCCACTAATTAGGAAGCTTCTAGAAGGTTCCAAAGACTTGCTTCTAGAAGGTTCTAGAAACTTGTCTCTAGAAGGTTCTAAGGACTATGTCCCTAACATCTTCTACTAACTAGAAAGCTTCTAGAAGATTCCAGAGACTTGTTTCTAAAAGGTTCTAAAAACTTGTCTGTAGAAGGTTTTAAGGACTATGTCCCTAACATGGGTGCGGTTTTTTCACAAATGGGAACAAATGACAAACTTCATCTAGTAGCCTTTCATTCAAAAAAATTCTCAGCAACAGAAATCAATTATGAGATCCACGACAAAGAACTTCTTGTAATTATGGATTCTTTTTAAAACTGGCATCATTATCTAAAAGGCGCTTCCAATCCTATCACCGTGTATATGAATCACAAGAACCTCGAGTATTTCATGTTAGCTCGCGTATTAAATCATTGTCAAGCTCGTTGGAGCATGTCTTTATTAAGATTTGAGTTCATCATCACTTATCAGTCAGTTAAACAACAAGGTTTGTCCAATGCCTTGTCTAAACGTTCTTATCTTACACCAAAAGAAGGAGATGCAGCTTTTGAGCAACAAAGAACGGTTTTCTTGAAGCCGGAGTAATTTCATCTTCGAATAATAAAATCAACATTGATTGTTGATTTAACTTTTTTCAAGCAAGTCCAGTTAAGTATGTCTTCAGACCCTCTTATTCATGATATCAAGAATAATTCTTCTAAATCTCATGATCCCTCTAAATTCGAGTTCAAGAACAACCTACTCTATTTCGTAGGATGCTTATATGTTCTAGAAGGAGAAGCAAGTTTACGTGTTCTTCAAGCTCATCACGACTTACCAACAGCAGGACATTTTGGATACAATAAGACTTTGGAACTGATATCCAGGGATTTTGGGTGGCCTGAAATGTGGAAGGCAGTCAAAGATTTTGTACAATTATGTGATGTTTACTCAAGATAAAAAACTCCTTGTCATTGACTTTTTGGACTTCTTCAACCATTATCCATTCTAAAACAACCATGGTCTTTTGTTTCTATGGACTTCATCACAGCTCTTCCAAGCTCAGGTTCTTATGACTCTATATTTGTGATAGTAGATTACTTCAACAAGATGGCATATTTTGTGCCATGTACAAAATCTATTACGGATGAAGAAACAACTAAGCTTGTTATTGACAATATCTATCTCTATCATGGATTATCAAAGGACATTATATCGGATAGGAGAACTCAGTTTGTGTCAAGATTTTGGAGAATCCTTTTTAAGATTTTAAAAGTAGATATAAAACTATCTTCAGCTTTTCTTCCTCAAACTGACAGACAGATAGAGCGCATAAACCAAGTCTTGGAATAATACTTAAGATGTACCATCAACTATCAATAAGATGATTGGACAATTCTTTTGCCATTGGCAGAATTTGCTTATAATAATATGGTGCATTCTTCTATGCAACAAACACATTTCTTTATCAATTATGGTTATCATCCACAACTTGACACATTTGATTTCTCAAAAGTTGATAATCTTGCGGTAGAAGATATGACAAATCGGTTATTAAAGTTACATGCAACAATGAAGGCACAATTAAAAGAAGCTCAAGAACGACAAAAGATAAATGGGGATGTATATAGGAAGGAACAACCACAATTCAACATGGGTGACAAGGTATGGTTACTCCATCGCAATATCAAGACTACTCATCCTTGTGATAAGTTGGACTATCGTAGGCTTAGATCTTTTCCTATTTCTGAACAAATCAATCTAGTTGCATGTCGATTACACCTATCCAAGTCAATGAAGGTCCATCTTGTATTCCACATGTCTCTTCTTGAATCATATAAGACAGTGGATATATGAAGAAGAAGACAAATTCCACCTCCTCCTATAGAAGTGGACAATAATGAAGAGTTTGAAGTAGAAGAAGTCTTAGATTCAAGGCGGCGCCAAAATAAATTGGAGTATTTTATCCATTGGCGTGGATGTGATATTAGAGAACGCACATAGGAGCCAGTAAAGAATCTTGTAAATGCAGCAAAGGCGGTGGAGGCTTTTCATCGATGACATCCATCAAAATCAAGATGAAAACATTTTTTATAAAAGAAACAAAATCTAGGCAAGATACCATTCTACTTTCAATCCTTGTTTGTAGCTTCTTTGTAGTTGTGACGCTCAAGAGATGAAAAACCAACAACCAGCGGATTTGACTCAAGAACCTTTGTTTGCTGACCTGCCTAACAAGATATTATGATTGTCACAACCTTCAAGATGACGCAATCGAGATAAAGATCTTCAAGAACGACATGTTCTTCCTCAAATGGATGGTGAGATAAAACGCGTTTGGTATCACAACCCTGGAAGGGACTCCCGATGTTTGGTGATTTTACTAGAAGTAGGAACAACTCCTGATGGTGTTCCAAATATTTTATTCGAAAGAAGTTTTGAAGGCCTCAACAATGATCAAATAACTAGGTGGTCTTCCTGCCCAAGTATGGGACATTACCAATGGTTGAGAGGCCCTATTAATCATCTTCGAAGAAAACAAAGGTCAAAGTATGTGACAAATATAGTTCGATGCATTATAGATTTCCTCAACATATGATGACCGCTCCTCGTAGAACTCATCCCTAGAAGGAGGGGTAATGTCACGGACATACTCATGTAAGCCAATAATTACATATATAAATAGGTAGAAGTAAATAAAAGTTAATAAAAATAAGTTAATTCTATAGTATTTGATATGGAAGCTTCCTAGAAGCTTAATAGATGCTACTTTGACTTTATAAGTGTCTTTAATTGAATTTTTGGATTAAAAACGTGGTCAATAAGTTCGCCATGTGCCACACATGTTGTTAGCTTGAAGACCAAGCTAACTATATGGCCCACACGTAGAAAAACTTGCCTTGTACGTCAAGGCATGTGTCCTACAAAGTCAACACATATTGGAGGTCGTATAGAACATCGCTATATAGTCCCTAGTTAGATAACATATATAGAGACAAGAGTGAAGCCTTCTTCAGTCTTGTCAACTCCTTTCTTACTTTCAATCTAGTTTCAAGGGTCTCTAGTTTTCTTGACTTTTGGCAATAGCCATTCCAATTTCTCTTTCAATATACATACTTGTTTATTTATATTTTGTTACCTTTGTTTGAGTGAAGGCTCACTTGACTGAATTACTTTTTCATCAAGTTCTTGTCCTTGACACCTCCAATACAAGTCCAACTTGTAGGACACATGTCTAATTTGCAAAGCAAGTTTCCTAAGCGTGTGCCATATGTCCAACTTGTACTACAAGTCGTCAATATGTCAACACGTGGCCTCCTTGTTGGCCAAGTTTTCAACCTATCAATCACCTATAGACATGTATAAAAGCAAAGCAGCATCTATAAAGCTTCTAGAATGCTTTCTACAAGATATTATCATATTTATCTACTTTGACTTACTTCTACCTATTCTTATTATTTAGATAATTATCATTGTAAATATGTATGTTTGTGACAAAAATCTACTCTATATTTTATGCTAAAAAAATGTGTTTTATATTTAACAAGAGACATTGCACAAGGATTTTATATGAAAAAAGTTTATTTTGTGTTATATGTGAAACAAAATATATTATACAATTTTTACAAAAAATAAAGAATAATAGAGTTATTAATAAAATTCTCTTATAAAATAAAAATATGAGATGAAATCGTCTTATTTACAAAATATTATTATTTTAATATATAAGAAAAAATATATTATTTATTTATTTAGTTAGTTAATTAATTAGGAAAATATTAAATAGACCCACGTTTCACTAAATCAACCCATCCATCATAACCATCATAAAAATAAAAATAAGAGTCCCTAAATTCATTTCTTCACTATTAGATCTGCAACCAATAAAAAATCAACCACATTCATCATAATTACCATATTCTTCATTAAGTGTAGGTCTAATAAACATTCTCTTAAATTTATTTACTTATTTATATAATATAAGTAGAAATCAAAACCACAAATTAAAGAATATTTATGCATGCAAATGAATATTCTTTTCTTTGTGTTTTGTAACTAAAACTGAATTATTTTATGGATTCACAAACGAAAATTCAAATACTTATATTAATAATATTCATATTTATAAAAGATAAATTTATTTAATAAAATTTTAATGAGAGAATATAAAGCTAATTCAACCAATATTTTATTAAGTTCAAATTAATATATAATAATAAGAACAAGATCATTGGGGAGTTCTTTTCTTTTTTTGTCTATTTTTACCATTTTATTATTAATTTTCTTATATATAATTTTTTTAAATTTAGAAAACACAACCACGTGTTCCGCCTCGACCTCCATAGATTCGCACTACAATCATCAAGTGATTAATTAGCACAAATTTTGGAGGAAAAGGACAAATTCTGCGGACGAACGAAACCAGCATTCGACGAACGAATTTCACAGTGACGGGTCCGTCGTTGTTCCCCAGTGCTACTGGGTGTTATCGTTCTCATGTTCCCGAACCTATCGAACCCGCTAAATCGCATTACATGTGGGAGCTTGGAGTAAATCCACATCGACCGAGAGTCCTCACAACCGACCATTGGTCGGGAATATTAGGTCAAACTCGAGGCAAGAGCTATGGCGGCTATTGACGTTACTTGTTTTTGTGATCGTTTCCTCGCCACCTCTCCTATTAAATTCTTCAACAAATTGCTTCTGTAGCTCCCGATTCACCTGCCTTGCATAGATCGTCGTCCACCCTCAACCAGATTGGTGCACAATGGCCGCAGACGACGAGAAGCAAGCACGGGAGGTGGAGGAGACAACCGGATCGGAAGCTCCTGCGGAAGGAGCTGATGAGCCTACCAAGGCTGGCGAGGAGGAGGACACAGGTGCTCAAATCGCGCCTATCGTAACATTACAGGAAGTTGCTGTTAGCACTGGCGAAGAGGATGAAGACGTGCTGATTGATATGTGAGTGTAGCTTTGTTTTCCGTTGTATTTTTTTCTATGAGGGACTGGAAGATGGGAAGCTAAGTTTTTGTGGTCTTTGCATGGGTTTGGTTTCCTTCAATGTGAATTGGGCAGGAGCGTGGCTGATCCTGTTCCTTCTGAATCTGTAGAATATCCTTTTAGGTTACCCGTCGATTAGTGGAGTCTTGGAGACTATCTCAGCAGTCCACCGAAATACTTGCTAGCCTCGGATCCTGTAACGCGTATATCTTGGACTGCTGAGATCCTATTCACCTCATTTAGTTCGCGGCTTTACTTTTCTAAATCTGACAGGACAATGTTTGCTTAGAGATACGATGAGCTCGTCGGCTCTAGTTTTTGGTGCTCTACAAGTCTTTGTAGTTACGTGCGTGTGCAGTGGAAGAGTTCTACGATGCCTCTTTCAACACACTGTGAATGCGTTTCAACCCCTAATATCGTTGCACGATCCAGTTGATCCGAATCCAAAACGTATCATTCCTTGGATAGAACACTCGTTCACTATTGATTTTTCAGATCGATTGCTGAGATTGAAATGTTACAATTCAGGGACTGTCCCCGATGAGTTTGACGCAGGGACTGCTCTCTGTAGTTCTTTGATCCTGATTGCACTGTCGTGTTTTTCTGCTCAATAGGAAAGCTAAGCTTTACCGATTTGACAAGGAAGGAACCCAGTGGAAAGAGCGGGGCGTTGGCCAAGTTAAGATATTAGAGCATAAGACTACCAGAAAGGTCCGATTGCTCATGCGACAAAATCGGACCCTGAAGATCTGTGCTAATCACATGGGTAAGTCTATAGACTATGAGTTATGAAGAATGGGGGAACCTTTCGCTCGGAATTCAAAGTAAGATGTGTCTAAGGACTTGGTGATTTTCATAGAGGTCTAAAATTGTCCGATTTCAGTCCACCTGAATCGTAATCTAATTCAGCGATCACATTGCTCGATCTGAAGTAAGAATCACAATGTGCAGTTACGGCAGCTACTCAACTGCAAGAGCACGCTGGTAGTGATAAGTCATGGATATGGCATGCGCGAGACTATTCAGACGGCGAGTTAAAGGAGGAGCTTTTCTGCATGCGATTTGGCAGTGTTGAAAGTAAGATTAAATCTTCGCCATGTGCTCCGATCCTTGCATTGCGCATAGCGAATTGCATCCTTTTTACAGTTTCCATTGCATCTGAGTACAACAATAGAACATTCTGTGATGATGAAAGACTGGTTCAATAAGTTTGTCCCGAAAGTTCTAATTCCAGTCAGATTTACTGGTGTACTTGACATCTAACATATCCTGAAAATTCATTCAAGTTGTCCGTTTGAGGTGATCCTTTCTCGGTTCGTTCTTCTGATTTCACGGTTCTGTCAACAGGCGCCCAAAAGTTTAAAGATGTTTATGAGGCTGCCCAGGAGAAGGTGTCTAGCAAGACAGAGGAGAAGGACGAGGAGGCTGATGCGACTGCAGACCTTTTACAAAATTTGAAAGTGGAACCAAAAACTGATAAGGTCGATGTTCCTGAGGAAACGAATACTGGAACCAAAGCAGCGTAGATTGGACAGTATGGGTGTGATCAACATGTGCTTGGGTCGTTGGAAGGTAGTTATACGTGGCACTAAACTGGTTTCGAGTGTTGATGTTTTTAAACCCTCGTCCAGGGTCGGAATTTGGAATGCTTCTCCTGAAGTGAAAAAAGTTAATCGTGTAAACCTTTATTAGTGTTAATAAGTACGCCAGTTGCTTTTGAAAACCTGTTCTACTTTTAGCAGCATGCATCGCCCTTCTTGTGTAAGTAGGGGAAATATGTTTCACAATTCCTGGAACGTGATTCGCCTGCATTGATGTATCATCTTTTATTGATACAGTTTGCAACAATTAGTCCGTTGAGTTCAGTTGTGTGTACCTTTTCGCATGAATGTAATGCTGTACATTAATTACAAGCAAGTGATCTTAATAATCTAAATGCTTTTATGTGCACCTGCGATAGTGTGATTGGCCATATTGAAAAGCTTTTTTTTAATTTGTAGTACGTCAGCCCACTTTTCTGAAGGAAACGTGCATGCGTTCTCGAGTTTCGCCTCGAGCCTCACTGCCCTTGATTGTAGCAACTTGTACAGCCTACTCAGCCTCTACCACGTCATTGAATATGTAAATAAATTTGGTGTGCGAAGGTTTTGTTACTACAATATTATCGACGTTTATCCATGGAAGGAACTGTCTACTAGTTAGGCCGATGCTGACATTTTCTCTTTCTCTACTGGTACTGAGATGTGCAGTGACAGATTGTCGTATTCTGGCATTTCAGCTCCACTTTGATGTGTACAAATCCTAGATATTCTACAATCACGTCAGCGTAAATAGAGTGCGCTACATGTGAATAGAATTCTATCTGCCACTTGTACATCACTGCGTGAAATTTGTTTTCACCCCACCCGTCCAAAGAACACAAAAGTCTGGTTGAGAATGATTGGCCCAGTTATGACCTCGGAGTTCACATACTCTGCCTTTGTGGTCCACAATGAGATGCCTGTAAATAGTTCTATGATGGTTCATCGGCACGACGAGTTGCTATTGGGTTTGATACAACCTTGCCATTACTGGCGAATACTTCAGGTAACTGGAGAGGACGAAAAGTACGAACACTTCGCTGCACGATTACTGGTAAATCAGGGGACGATGGTCCCACTAAACCCAATCGTCCTGGAGATGCAGGGACAGATGTGGGGCCATTACACACAACAGAGTTTGATTTTTGCGATGACTCTTGGTTACTAGATTGTGTTAGCCATTGCTGTAGCTCCAGTGATTCCGTCGTTCCCTTCTCAAAATCTGGGTAATGTCTGGAATTAGTTGTCAGTTTGAGTGATTCTGAGAACCCTAGTATCTTTAGATGCTTGCCCAAGGCAAGTATCGTGCGCTGACATTCAGCTGATGCACCTGCCGCCATCTCCCGTTCCTGTACAATATGCATTGTGGGATAAGTAGCGATGCATGAAAACCACTGACAGGCATGGAATTTTTCCTACTAGAATGTGAAAAAGCAGTGCACCTAAAAGAGTGTCCTTCACAATAGCAATCACTAACTATAGTTGATGAGGACGTTGCCCTTGGCAGAGACAACCTTGATCTAAGCTTTATGGAAGTAACAATTCACATTCAACCACATTGTACTCTCCAAGGTACCTGTCCAGCGCCTTTGCTTACATCATCCTCTTCCATCAGAGACTCTGTAGATCCCTCCCAAAGTGAACCTCCTGAATCTGCATTTCGTCCAACGCCTCTGCTCATGCATGGTAGGATATCAGTGCATCATACAAAAGGCTTTCTGAAAGATTTTGGAACAGAACACAGAAGAAGCTGTAACATTTATAGAAGAAAAGTTGAGATTAGGTTTCTCATATGAAGCACCTATGAATTTGTTGCAAATCCCGGAGCTTTGCAACGACGTCGTGGTGCCGGCGCCGCTCGTCATGCAACTCAACCTCCAGCTCTGCTAGTTTGACATGAAGTTCATTCATTTCAATATCTGCAGCACGGATGGTCTTTGCAAGGCCTGGATGAGAGAGAAAAATCTCCAGTAACTTTTCCTCGATCAGCTCATCTTCCTGCTTCTGCTGTTCCTGTTGCAGCCGTAATTCACAGATACGGACCTCAGCTGCTTTCAGCTCTTCCCTCAACGCGTCCACAATATCATTAGCTTCACGAAGGTGAGGCTTCACGTCTGATACGCGATGAATTGCTCTTGTTATTTCTCTAGACAGGAGCTCTACATCTTTCTCCCACTCAGGAGCCCGGTCCAGTTGCTCTTGCATTTGGATATCTTTAGTAGCTCGTTCCTGTATAATATTTGGAAGATAATCTTCTGGTTGGAATATTAGAGCATTGGCTGATTCTAGATTCCCATACACTGCTTCACGATCTTCTTGCAAATCTTGAACAGAATTAATATAATTCGATGTAACGCAAGGAAGGGTAGGTGAAAGCTCCGATACAAAGCTTGTAGAGTGGCTACAATTCTCTGAAAGCTCATTCGTAACCTGCGCTAGGTTGCTCAAGCAACTGTCTAACTTGAAGTTTGGCCAATGAACACACATTGCAATTGACACATTAGTGTTATCCTCAACTACTTCAGGAATAAAAGACTTAATTTCTACAGGTTGACCAAGGAGTTCAGTAGCTTGGAATACACTTTTCAATGCTGTCGCAAGCTCCAAATGAATTGGTGTGCTTACCTGCACGCATGCATCAGAAGATGGCAAATCAATTTGAGGCGTAGGAATATCAGAAATTATATAACTATGCAGGACGGCCAGCTTCATGACCATCATAGAATTTGTAGTGTACGCAACCCCGAAACTGTTACTGGTGCACAAGACCATGTGACATTCAAATTTTACCTTAGCTGACGGTGTGAGATGCACCTGAGCTTCCCTCAGACTATTTAGCAATCTGTCCAAACCGTCTTGCAATATTTTGGAAGACTCTGCGTTTTCTGCATTCCTGGTATTTGAAGAGAACTGGCCCTCGGCAGCTGTGAGCTTCGTGCTCGGTTTTTCGTTCACGACATTTGTCGAATCAAATTTTCTGTCATTTGCTGTCTTGGGATTTCTTAAGCCTAAGATTTGCTGTTGACATTTCGAGATATGTGGGTAGTTCAAGTAACCATTTTCATATAGGTTATCAGATCTTGGCTCAGATTGTAACCCATAAGGAGCCAAGCACTCCATTCCAAGGCCATTCATGAGCCCAAATGTCCGTGATCCGTTCTTGGACTTGGAAAGAGGCGTTCTAGACTTGGAAACAGGCATTGATGACATTGAGCACCCAGGGGATGATGCATCAATAAAATGTGTCATCTCTGGAGATGCAAATATCCACATCAGACCGGCGTTTTAATTTCTTTTGTTTCATGCAACTACAACAATAATTTGTAAATTTGATTGTGAAGTTTACGAACACACACAATAATAAAGTATCAAGTGTTGCGGATTTTAATACCTGCTCTTAATAAGTCCAGTTCATCCTCCACAACCGTTAACCGGCTTGCAGTTTTGGCGCACATGAGATGAGAAGCTTGTAGCTCTTTATTCCGTTTGGCTAAAGCCTCCTTTAAAATGCGAGTCTCCTCGTCTACGTGAGCAATTCGCTCCACAACAGCATTAATGCCATCTTTGGAATCCTGAGTTCCCTCATGAACCAATGCATGCCAAGGTAGGATGTCCAACCCTTCTCCTAGGCTTCGACGCAGAGGACAACGGCGAGGCCTTGGAGAGTCTTCCGGTTCTTTCCTTGAGAAACCCATCTCTTTGTTTATCTGATTTTTTGATGAGGAATCTGCAAACAGAAATTAATTTATAAAAGATTATCAATTGACGTCCTTTAGGATCCAAAACCGTACGACTGTATAGGTATGTGGGTAAATAATTGCCAGGAAAGTATAGGGCATATAATTGTGATCATACCCGGAAGATTCTTGTGGACCATCATGTGGAGCTGACTGCTCTCATCCTCTAGCTTGACATTGGTGTTGCCGCTGTCTGCTTGATGCGGGTACAGTATATCCGGATTTTTTCTTCCGTATTCAAGCTCGGCTGATCTGATCTCAAGCTCCTTCGTGATGGTTTGTATCTTGTACCTGAGATCCAAGTTTTCTTTCTCAACCCCTTCGAGCCGTACCTGCTACGCCAAGTCCGTTCACTAATGCAGTAAATCTTTCCATGGATTATGCGCCCACAAAAAGGATCGAGAGAATTTTGCCACCACTAACTAGAGAATTTTGCGGAGAGGCATACAAAGCGTAGCGAAGAATAAGCTCTTACTTGCAGGATTTTGTTGTAAGTCTCCGTGTGTGCTCTCATGTCATTGAGCTCTGCAATCATCCTCGAGGAATCCTGAAAATGGTTGTTATTTCATTTGAGAGCTGAACACATACTGAAAAATGAACGAAAAAGTTCTTTCATTTCTACAGCGAACGCTTCTACTGTAGGAGGTACCTTCAGGGCATGGTAGAGGACCTCATTCTCAGCTTGTGATTCAATCAATAAATTTCGGTTATCGGACAAGGATTTCGATACTTCTTCTAATTTGATCTCCAATTCAGTTCTTAAATTTTCGAACTCCTGAGCTTTCTCAAGAGTCGTCTCATGCAGATTCTTCTTATGCTCCTCACGTCCAACATGGAGTTGTTGCGTGAGATCCTTCAAGGTTGCATCAAGATACGAAGCACGATCCTCAGTAGCCAACCGTTGTTGTGTAGCTTTCTCAAGTTCTAACTTGTACTCGGCGGTTTCTTGTTCTGCTTTTTCCCAACCTGTAAAATATCATCTCATCTTGGGCTGAAATTTCAACATTCACCGTAGAGGAACAGGTCCACAAAAAGTAAGCAGACTGTACTCGAGCAACCGGCACTGAAGCAATGGTAATGCTGAAAAAAATGTAGTACCAATAATAGCCTCTTCAGCAACTTTGATGTGTAGCTTGATGAAGTGGTCTTTGGTGGTAATGTCTGCAAGTGCAGAGACGAGCTTCTCATTGACATCAGTGAGCTTCTCAGTCAAAACCTTTTTTTCCTCGGAGTATTTGAGTTCAGCTGCATGCAGAGCTTCAACAATTTGCTCGTCTCCTATTCGAATCTGATCCTGAAGTATTCTTGCCACATCCTGCCAACATCATAAGGGTAACAGTCCAGTAGCCTTGTTTTTAATTACGATGAAGAACAGAAGTACAGGTTCAGCGGATCGGAAATAACTGTGAGAAAATATAACAGGTACTAAATTTGGGAATAAAATCTTAATGTGCATAAGAGACCTGTTCGTCAAAGAGTTTCACAGGATTGGGTGACGATCCGCCCTCGGAGCTACCACTAATGCCGTTGTTTTTTAGGTTCTTCCACGGCCAGCGCCGGCGTCTCTCGAGCTCCTTCTCCATCATATGTCTCTAACAGTGGATTCAGCAAAAAATTCTATTCGCAAAACCTGAAAAACAAGCGAAAAAAATCAGGAACTTCACGTTTTGCTTCATTCGCAGTTCAAGTCTTCGAAATATCACTCTAAACCCTTGTGCTATATTACGAGCATTTGAGTATCCTCAAATTCTGAAAAATTGCGGGTGGACCAATGGAGTCATTTGTATCTTAATAAAGCCTTCTAATTGTTTAATCAATGCATGAGCAAGAAAATGATCATGCAACCCTTTGGCAACGAAGCCTTTGTTGCCTTGAAAAGTTAGCCACATGAATGCAAACGCACGTCTGCGCGAGTATGATGCCTGTCTTTAAGGATAGAAAGATTTTTTCTCAAGCAGTGACGGTCAAAGGTTGCTTGCGGCTCTACTCGAAGCGATCGGACGGCAGTCTACAGCTCATTTTCAGCTCCGTGGACTTCGTCTATCTGCGCCTGTTCTTGAAATGAATAGGACATTTTCAGAACACAAAGGTTTCACGGACACCGTAGAGCTGTCCAAGTGAATCCCTCTCATTGTTGTGATGGCTTCACCTCGAATACTAGCTACGGATGGTTACTTCTTGAGAAGAAGAGAGATACTCGCCACAACTCGACTCCCTGCTATCGTTCGTGTCCCCTGAGTTTCTTGCTTCGTCTCTGCGCTCTTGACGCTGCGGTGGCGCAGACTACAAAAAGCGAGGATGCTCAAAGTGTCACCATAGCCTATTTCTAGCGCCGTCCCTCAGTATCAACCTGAACTCGGACGAAATACTTGGACCAGTTTCCATCCTCAGGCCAATCCGAATCTCTTGCAAATGTATTGTGGCACCCAACGAGTGCATACCCAATTTTGACTGATTGTATACATTACACAACTGCATCATAACGTGTGTATCCATTCCTTCCTCTTCAACTCTTTCCAACACTTTGAAAACCCGGCAAAACTGACACTCCACCCTCGAACCAAGAGATCAAGGACCCCTTGCAGCCACCACTCCAAGGTGCAGCTTTTTCAAGAACAGGTGCTCAATAGAAGACCACATCCTCGCTGACCCCTCACACACTCTTCGTCGCACTAACAATTCCCTGCTACGAAAAGCTTCCACTTCAGCATCTGAGAAACTTTGTGCAACAGCCGTCACCCCAGAACAAAGGACGGCATCCCACATACAACCTCCCCTGAACAACGCCTTCCTGCAACAAAGAGAGACAAAACGCCCAAACAAACCGAACAGAACCAAAACAAAAAAATTTGCCAGATGACAGGATTCTGGATCCTGGAACGTAGGAAGACCGCAGCCACAGCATCAGTTAGAAACTCCTGAAGTGAGGATAGCTACCGTATCCTCCGAAACTCCCATTCCTTCGCTTTTTGTCGTCCATGTCCTTTTCAACCGATGTCAGACCTCCATGGCTCGACTTCCGAGAGATCTCTCTCCTCTTCCTGAACCATCACCCTCCCATCCTTGACTTCGGCCGGCACGGCACTAGCAGTGCTCGGTAATTACTCCCTCGTTCCAAACTCGACGGCTCTCTCCATCTCGCTCTTGATTACTTCCCGCTGGAACAGACTATGACAATCGGTCGTTGCGAACACAAAACCCTCCCAAGCGTCCTTCTATCAATCGATCAACGGTACTGACTGAACGCCGTGCCGCTGCCATCCATCCTCATCAACGATTCATTCAATTCAAAAAACAAAAAAAACAGAAACAAGAATTCCGATTCTTTCACATCGCCCCAAGTACCTTCACCTCTCCGTTTCGCCGTCACCATCACACCGTCAGCGAGGGAGCAAACAAACAATCATTCCTCAAGCTCCACGCATTATTCACTCCTCCATGGAATCAAGTATCCAATTGCCTGCTGCCTCCTTCCATCATTCGACACCAAATCCGTCACCGCAAATACTTGGACACGAGCTCCAATCTTCCCGCAACAGCACGCTCGGACTCAAATCTCGCAACCGACAGATGATGCGGAATGACGGAAAAAACAAATCAGGCAGGGTGTAAATGAGAGGAGTAACTGCGTTCACAAGAGGGTCCTCGCTAATCACTCACACTAATCACAGATACCGAGGGTGTGATTAGTGCTAACACGGAGATGGACATGCGGCGTTTATGAGGATCGACTCATGGTCGGTCAAAGTCGCCGGCGCTCCCTCGCCGAGTGTTTATGGCGGCTTCGATCTGTTTCGTAGTCGTTTTTTCTGGTTTGGTGCCGCCATCGCTGTCCCTCTCGCCTCTTTCAGCTGTGATTGAGTGAAGCATTTTGGTGGTGATTTCTTCAGAAAACTTGCGATGAATTTTTAGGCAACTTGGCATGGTTTGTCGAATTGGTTTTCTGTGGGAGATTTTCAATTGATTGATAATATGATCATTTACTTCTAATTTTTAATTTGTTCAAAAACAATGATGTGTTTTGTGTATGACATGTGTGGTTGCAATTTTTGGTCATGTGTTTCACTGTAGAAGGAACTCATGATCCTGTTGAATTAATATTTTAAATATCATGTTTTAATGAAAAAATAAATGCTAAATCATTTTTTTGGGTTATTTTACAAAAAATTCCATGATAAGGATATAGCTTGATAATTGAGTATAAATATCAATAATTTAATTTAAATAATTGATTAATGAATATGAAGTAAGATTTTGTGCTAGTAGATTAAGAGGGTCTTCACATGTAGAAGTCCATTATGAGAAACCATGGTCCAAAAATCTTGTGAAGATTTTATTTTGGTAAAAGAAAAGCTGTCTTTTGGAAGATTTCCTTTCTGGAGATAATACAAAGTGAGCAGACGTCATAACATAAGAAAAACCATTTTTTAATATAATTAAAATTATTTTATATATGACGCTTTAAATTTTAATTTTAAAAATTGTAAAAATCATCAAAAATAATTATTTTAAAAATAATATAAGTTCATTAAATAAAAAGTAGTTATATATGTGTATATATATATATATATATATATATATATAACTTTTTAATTGTTTTTATTTATTTAAAGACCACTTTTTAAGGGAGTCTAATTGTTGTCATGTTATATGAAAATCAACTTAGGAATGTACTAGGTAGTTGGCTTTAGAAGGATTTGATATTACTTTGAAGTTGGATTTACAATCTAAAAACAATGCATAAGATGTTTAGAAACTTAGCAATCTTGAACAACCTAAGTAAGCTTCCAATTGTGCTAAATATCCCTTATTAAGTTTAGAAAATACGCAAGTTAAAACTCTTTACCTTCTACTTACAATATTACTTTTTGTTTTATGCATATAAAAATATTTTGGTAATAATTTTGCATGAGTTAGTAATGACATAAAATAACTGTTTTTAAATAACATATTTATGAAATATTTATATTAAAACTTGCAATATAATTATACAGTAATCTTTTTTTTTTTTATCAAGAGCTTTGAACATAAATTTATTAATATATTTACGAAAAATAGAAATTTTAAATATATAATAAAAAATAGAATATTATAAAAATATTAATATTATAAATAGTTATTTTTCCTAGAATCTAAAAAATGAATACTTAACTTATTAAATTATTCTTTAAAGTTATATTAGTTGGTTATACTTTTATAGAAGAACGGTTTTTATAAAATGAAAACTATTTTTTAGTCAATATTTATTTAATACTGAATTTAAATATATATATATATATATATATATATATATATATATATATATATATATATATATATTTAAATGTATAGTAAATTATTGTATACTGAAGTCGAGAATAAAAAAATAATATTTTTATAAAATTTCTCAGTATGAAATCATAATTTTTGTGCTTTATATTTTTTTAGTAAATTTAGATACATGTTGTATATTTCTATATATATATATATATATATATATAATTTATGACACATGTATTATATTATGGATTTAAACTTTAGTCATAAATGATGGTACATATATTTAAACGCTTTTTTGATATATACATACATACATGTTTTACAAAATTCAAAATTTTCTTTTAAATATTTCAAAGATTAATTAAATTTTTATATAATATATTATTGAAATTGTGATTTATTTTTTATTTCAGAAATATAATTACCTTAATAGCACATTCATCCATAATTTGAAATCCTATTTGAATTTTCTTATGACAAAATTTTATGCTTGTTATATTTATAAATGAATATCCTACGGAAAATTTTGGTTTTTTTAACATATTCAACTATAAATGATGTATAGTCAAAATAACAGCGTTCTTGTTGAAAATAAAATTTTAGTGAACAAACTTTACAGTAAAATTGTTAGACATTCTATCACCTTCTTGGTAATTAATGACCGCATTTTGATGTTATGCTGATAATCAATCACACACGTTTTATTTATTAATCTTAAAAATTTAAACCATCTCTTATGATATCAAACAAAGTGTTAATAAATTTATGATTAGTTTTTTTTTTTCATTAATTTGATAGAATCTTGTTTGTAAAATTTAACAAAAGAATTAATATTTAAAATCCTCTCAAAATAATAAATTTTAAATTTTAAAAAAATCCAATTAACAAGTATATTCTAAAGTTTTTATTATTAAATTATAAAAAAATAAAAATTTCAGTGTGATTTCAGCCTTGGTTAGTACAAAGAGTAATAAACCTAACAAAACATGTGTATCGGATAATATATAAACTGAAATTAGTTCAAGTGCCATTTTAATAACGAAAATCAATATTTACATCAGGTTTATAAAATATTTAAATTCAATAGAATTTTATTGAAATAGAATAAAAACTATATTTTAAACTAACACTAAGATAAAACACAGAATTTTGCAATACTTCTTTTACATAAGAATTGAGTTTATGTTCAAAAGGATTATACTTACAAAGTGTGGTGCCAAAATACCAATAAAACATCATAAAATGTCACTTAATTAAAATCCCATGTGTATAAATTCACCTAATTTTAAATGCTCATTATTCAATTTATGAGCCGAAATAGAACATATAAGGTTTTATTTTATTTTATTTACACATAAAATCATAAGTGTGTAATATTAAAAAATATATAATGTCGAAAATAATGTGAATTTATACACATGGGATTTTAAATGCTCTACTTTACTTTACATTCATCACATTAATTTTATGTTCCATTAAGTAGGACCCATAACAGTCAGTAATGTAATAAAAACCTAAAAACTAATGCTACATTTTTTTTTAACTTTCCTGCAGTCAACAAGCTTCCAGAGACTTGAAGTCAGTCCTAACTATAGAGTTCGGTGAATGATTCTGTGTTGGGTTATCAACATGGTGATAGTAATTGAGCAGGACAATGTCAAAATTGTGCAGTTTGACCCATTGCAGAGGTCACATTTCTCTTTAGTATCTTGCTCTCAAAGATGATTAGGGAACAGCACCTATGTTTGATTTGTTTTCAATATAGTATGCAATAAGAATTATTTGTAGATATTTCTCTTTTCTTTTACCTGCAGCATGCGAACTCAAACTTGAATAAAGACTGAAAGCAAATAAAGTCTTTCATGGTTTGATTACATAGTTCTTGATGAAGATAAATGTTCTAAATTTAAGATTTTAAAGTTAAATAAATAAAATTCAATTCATTAGCTTAAACATAATTAGATTGCAGAATTGATTTGAATTCTGCAGTACAAAGGATTTCAGAAATTATGATTTTTTTAAAATACTATTTCAAAATCATATTACATATTAATGATTTCATGTGCGAATAAACTAGAATAAAACCTTATATGTTCTATTTCGGCTCATAATTTGAATTATTTTTAATCTAATTGAACTGTGATATTATTATCAGATTCTTTTATCATTTTCAGTTATTTTTATAATTATTTAAACATGCAAATTTGATTTAAGTTATTGCTATGTTGGTTTATTTTAAAATAAAATTGCTAGTAGCATTCAGTTAGCACTCATCTAATCATATTATACATATTTTGTAATGAAAAAAATATAATTGTGCTAAATACTTTTATGGCATTAAATGTAAAAGACCTTTGTACAATTTGTTGTGATTAGGTTTTTCTTTTTTCAAGATTTCTATGATTGAATTTAAATGATTTAATATATATATATACATATATATATATATATATATATATATATATGAAACTTATTCGTGTTGCACAGATGTATTTGAAAAATTATTAATGTATGAATCCATCAATAATGTTCTCATCTAAACCCTTGAGTTTCCCTTTCCTTCCAATAATGTTTTCCATTTTGTCCTTCTTTTTTATATACGTATTTGAAGTTTTTTTTAAAAAAACTTGGTAAAATCTTTTCACCTTAGACTTTTTCAAAGTAGGCATTTGGGTATTAAGACCTCATTAATAAATAAACTTGTGCGAAGGTTTCGTTAATAAAATCTTGAACAAGTTGGGAATCAAAGAGTCCAACCATGTGTCTCACTTGGACATGAGAATGAATGAAAAACATGAGCGGATGAACGAGGATTCAAACGGATAAAATGGATGGATGAAAATCACGCATCGAGAGAGCCGCGGACTGCTGCCTAAGGCGGCGTTAAAGCATCCAACTCCGTTTTATTTATTTTATTTATTTTTCGCTTCCGGAGCAATCTCCACAATTGTTGTTGGATCCACACCTTCGGTCAATTGATATATATAATCCCGTTCCTTTGTACTTGATCACCGCGCCATTCTTTTTGTTGTAAATTCTGTGCGTGATTCTTCATCAGAGTGATTGTGCAGTTAGTTAGGTCTCACCCTCCGGAACGACGCTAAGGAATTTCGTATGAAGCCATTTCAGCTGCCCGGGAAGTTTTTCTTGGCCGGATGTTTAGTCCATCTTCTTGGTAACGATAAGATCACCTCGAAAATCTTGGAAGGGAGGGAACTAATGTCTGAATTTCAAGCGGTTTTCTATGCCGATGTGCGTCATTCTGCAACTTTTATTTTCTCTGTTTCGTTCGTTTGAAGTGTATGCGTTTTTTGCATCACTGACAGCAGTGATCTATATGATCAACCTTCGTTTGAAGTTGTGGTGGCTTCGTGTAAGAGAGATAGTACTATTTTCTTTCATTATACGAGGTGCTCAGAGTTTTTAGTCCCGACTGAGTTACGTATTTGAGTTGTATCGTAACTGTTCCTTGGCACCAATCAGGATTTCAGCATTCCTCGAGTTCACATTTTAAGAAAGAAAAAATATTGTTATTGTGAATCAAACATTTTCCAGAGATCACTTTTCTGAGGTAGGTACATTGAGGGAAGGATGATTTGGTGATTATGTGATGATGGATTGATGTCACGGCGAAGACCTTGACTAATATCTGCTAGCAGGTTGATGATTGAATGGAAAAATTAAGAGTTGCACTAGCAGGACACCTGAAGGATCTACAGCCACATAAAGAACTAAGATGTTGGGACTAGACCATTATTGCGGGATAGCGTGATAGCGTAATACGACTCTCCCTGAATTTCTCTAATAATCTCTTTTAACAATTTATATCTATTTCTATTGGAATATATTTTATTCTACAATATAGAAGAATATAAGAGTTCCAGGTTGCTTTAGTTTAGTTGAATCTTGAATCTGAAAAATGGCAGCCATTGTCTACAATAATGATAAGTGGTGATTCTGATACACTTGCACAGTGATTACATGAAATTGGAATGAGAGGATTGGTGTTGAAGCCCTGAAACCTAACAATACAAATCGTGACTTCTGCATTACATTTAAAAATCGATTAAAATAAAATTAGCAGGGAACAGCCACAGCATTGAGTGTAGAGAATAAGTTACTGTCGTGACAAGCTGGCAGTAAATTGAACAGAACATATTTGTTTCATACTTTAACAGTAAATTTGTAGGTAAACACTACGTTCCGTAGAAAATCTTGAGTTTGATGTTGATCACAGTACTCTTATCGGTTCGTGATTACCAACATACAGATGCACACTATCTATACTACGTTGGGAGATACGAACCTTAAACGAGAGAGTGCGTAGTTGCATGGTTATAGTACCGATGTCATTTCTTTGAATTTTTTTGATAAGAAACTAGAGGCCAACTTCGATTCATCTAACTGATGAAATCTTCTGCTGTGTTTCTCATGTGCATGTCTACAGGCTCCTCCTAACAGCGGTTGGGATATCTGGATCAAATCGAGTACATAAACACTCGATCTCAGAACTACTCTAAGTGTTCGCTTGAAGTTGTTATTCATAGCAATGGTAAGGTCCTTGTTCATTTTCATAATTTTACATTTTCCATCATTCCATTTATAAAATTACCTAAAAAAAGTTAGATCAGTCTACAAGCTTTGCACAAATAGAGATGCAGCGTAAGAGGTGGTATTGGAATCACTCCTGCTAGAAATATCTAAGTTTTAGATCGAGCATGTTTAAAATCGCACATGCTATAAATTACACCTTCACCAGAATAAAAATGAAAAACGTTCCCTCATCAACGATCCAGTGGTATGCAACGTAGCAGTATAGAGTAAAACAGGCCCTTTTAACTCCAATAGTCAGACATGTTAATCAATTGATGTCAAGCAGGATATCAACAACGACGGGGCACGGTACGCGTTCATTTGTACATGGCATGACCCGATGACTGACATCACATGGAGATACCAGTTTATGTATCACACAAATGATCAATCTATTGAGATGGTAAGGCTTGAGTCAAATAAAATTTCAATCCACTCCTGTATAAGCGTATTACTCCATGCAAAAGACAGAGCAGCATGAAAATCATGTCATCTGAGAAGTATTGTGAACAAACCACGTACAATATTATTTTTAATGTTTTACGCGTCATGACAACACTGCGATGCTGTGCAGTACGACATTAAGAATCAGAAGACATTTCTGAAGCGGGTAGCATATCCTGCCATTACCCTCGAGCAGCTCTACATAGGCTCTACCATTTTGGTGTATACACGCCAGCTTCTCATCGAGGATTATGGTGATGAGTTCACACGAAAGCATTTACGTGGTTTGCAGGAGACGTACGTGTTCTCCACTAAATCCTGTCATGATTTTGTTACCACATAATATTGCACTCCGAGCGCTGAGGTGATCATTACCCGAGTGCTAGCGCCGCGAAAACAATTGAACAGTGTAACTATTGTGGAGATTCATACTCGACAAACACAGTAACTAGACGGTAGCTGACTTCACAAGTTGCAAGTAAACTTTCGATGCACATGCACGTGCAGAACTGGACGTTCATGGAATCCAACATTAGAATCTTCAATGCTCTTATGTACTTATTGAGTGGGAATCAGTATTTACGGGAGCAGGTATCAACATATTTTGAGACTGAGGGTACATACTAAACATATGCGTTGAAGCCTTTTTCAAAACAAATCTTTTTCTTTTGATAATGTTTTTGGTTGAACTGGATTTGCAATGAACAGGACGTGTGCCATGATAAAGCCAGACGCCATTTGCAACGCTGGAAAGATTCTGGAATGCATTACAAGAAATGGATTGCTTATAAAACACATGCGTATGTGTCAGCTGTCACGAAAGCAGGCTGAGGAGTTCTACAATGTTCACCAAGGAAAACCTTTCTATGAGTGAGACCCCATCCTTGTACCCAATATTATTTCTTGGCTTCAGCAAACCTTGAAACCTCCTGTGTTGCTTATAACCTCTCCTGCAACTGCGACTATTCTTTCACTCAGAAGGCAACTCAACCTGATATTCACATGGCAGAAATCGTCGCGAGTTGATCGCATTCACCGATCAATAGAACTCTACTGTGGTTTTGATTGGGTGAAATCTTTTGACAGATCTCTCATCCAGCTTATATCAAATGGGCCAGTGATAGCGATGGAGCTAGTTGGCGAGAATGCACTCTGCAGGTGGAGGTTACTACTTGGTGAGCCTTAAGTATGAATTTCACAATGTGTTGACTGTTATTTCTCATGATTTATGTTGGAAATGAGAGTGACACAGTACATGTGAAAATTTTAAAGAAACCAGCATCATATATAATCATGGCAAGTAACATCTTCAGCCACATACGTAAATTACGAGAAAAATAATATGGAAGTTAAAGAACACGTGCGTCGGGTTCACCAACAGTACCAAATTAATGCATCTTATTTCTTTTAATTGGATTGTTATGATTCTTAATAATACAGGCCCAACTAGTACAGAAGTGGCAAGAATAAAGGCGCCGAGTTCTATCCGTGCTCAATTTGGGACAGACACAACAATGAATGCGTGCCATGGGTCCGATTCACACGAGAACGCAAGAATTGTATGACTTCGTCTGTACTAAATTTTCTTTAGCACAGTAAACATTATCTGAGCTACAATTTTGTTTGCACATCGAATAGCCGAATTGAATCAGTCCCGTAATGACCGAAGTCCATGTTTGAATGTAGACATTGGAAATTGGTACTAGGCACAAATATCAAATGCCATTACGAGCATCAGAAAATGAAAATTATTATTCTCGTTTTGTAGGAAACACTTTTTTTCTTTAGGTGCTGGAATATGGGCATGTCCGCCCGCTTCAGAAATTGCACCCTGTGCATCATCAGGCCACATGCCGTCATGTCTGGTACGGCACTCGTATCTTTCTACCCTTCAAAGTAACACAAATTCTTATGGTACTCAACATGATCATCAAAAGCTAGGGAGTAATCGTAGATACCATTCACACAGGCTGTGCAGGAGCTATATTAGATCGAATACTGTGCCAGTTCGATGTGACGGCAATGGAATTAACTCAGTTTTCTCGGCACGCTGCGGCTGATTTCCTTGCGGTTTATCAAGGAATATGCCCCGACTTCTGTGTATTGCTTCTTACCTCTTAATCATTCTCTTCTTAGAATCTGTTTTTATCAAATTTGATATTGGATCCCAACTACGAAAAGGGCGATCATATTCTTAGAGCAAGATATACTAATTGTTTTACACATGTGCAGTCGATGACACACGAGTTGGCATCTGGTGACTTCATTATCTTGGAAATTGTTGACAAGGAAAATCCATGCTCCAATCCTGTAAATAAGTTCCGAGAATTCTGCGGCCCAGCCGACTCCTGCATTGCACGGGCGCTTAGGCCACGCTCCCTACGTGCAGAATTCGGCATCAATAAGGTGCTGAGAAGTTTAACCTACTCTAAATTTGTGAAAGTACTCATCTTCATAAATCGCACCACCACACAGACTGTTTTACTATTGCCGTAGGCAGAATCATGTTCAACCTAAAATGACTTCTTCCGAGGAAAACGCAATTCATCTATCACATGATGATGTGCGAGTTGTCATCTAAAATTTCATTATTAGAACTTCATGAGCTGCAATAGCACTCATCGAATAAGTCACCCCTCGCTATTTCAGGTGAAGAATGCTGTGCATTGCACCGATATTCCTGACGACGGAGAGCTGGAGGTGGGCTACATGTTCACGCACCAGTGGGAAGGGAGATAGAGACGATTTCATCCGATTGTGATAACTGTTCTCAGTGCTTGTGGTCTCCTGCCAGAGGACTGCTCCGATTGTGCTCGTGTCTTTTGGGCTTAGTAAGAGTTTGATTCTGAAGTGGTATTGGAGAACTTGTGCCTCCCCTGGATCAAGAAGAATTTACTGAGAGGATCACAATATTGAGAATATGAGCCTGTACACTTGAGTAAAAGTCGATGTAATTCCAAGCTGCGGTTTTGAGTCAGACATCCGGATTGTCACTGCTGTATTGTAATACAAGGACGTAGTTGAAACTGTCATAGCAATCTTGTCTATCTCCGTTAAATATACAAATTGGATTTGACAGTGCGCAGGGTCCCGTTGCAACAATCATGATCACAGTAGTTAAAAAATACGGGTATCATTTGTCTTACAACCCCACGAGGTATATATATATACATATGGTTCCTCACCTTTAAAATGGAAGGGGACAAATGATATCGGGGTTAGACAGAATGAACCCCAGACTGGGCTCAGGTCAGAAAGAATTTTTGAAAGGAGTGTTCATCCAAATGAAGAGGTTATTCATGTTTGAAATTTATTGTTTGTCTCTTTTGTTTTGACAAGCACAATTGAAGGCAATATGAGTGAGCTACCTTTCCAAAGAGTATAGTTAAAAACATTAAACATGATTTGAAAAAGAAGGTGATTGGGGACCTGGTGGGTGGTATTTATATGTAGATTGAGTTTAGAGATTTGTTATTCTTTGGGCAATTTCTGTTTATTAGAGATTTGTTATTGGGCAATTGCCCAATAATCATATAATCTTGCATTATGTCATGATTTTATTAAAAAAATATTCTTTAATATTTCAATTTTTTTAATAGATGACATAAGAGGCATGGTTTCACAATAAAAAAAAAGCACACTAACTACAAAATGACAATTATTAATTGTAGAAATTAATTTTAAAATTTGAATTAATATATAATCTTAAAGTAAATAATACAAAGAGTTATCCTTTACATATTAGTTATATAACAAATTTGTTATGTAATTCTAACATTTATTATTAATTTGTCACTATTATTTGTAAATTATGTAAAATAATAATAATAATAATAAGTTATTCCAATAAACACTTTAATGAATAGCATGAATGGAAACTTACATGCACAATACAATTATTTTAAGAAAAACAGCTTCTAATTGAAAATATATATATATATATATATATATATAAAACCAGCATGTTAAATATAAAATTAATAATGTTACAAGAACGTATTAATATAATTTTTTTACCGTAGTTTTATTTTTTAGAATAAAAATAAACTAATGTGGATTTTAGGAACATAATTAACAATTTTTTGTAAAGTAGATATTTTTAAATCATTATAGCAATTCAATTTAAAACATACCATTTCAAAGATAGATTTAAGAAGATTCATATGTATATTATTTTACATAAAATAAGGTTATTACAAATATATGTAGGATTTTAAAAATGAACTTATGATTTTTAAATTTATATTTTAATGCTTAAAAGACTTTGTAGTTATTTATTTACATGTCTTAGTATATTCCAAGAATGAACAAGATTTCAAACAACATGTACATTTGGTATAGTAAACATTACAAAATAAAATAAAAATCAGTAAATAAACAAAACTCCTCTATTAAAATGTACATAAGAAAGAAGGAAATTGAATGACATCAATGGTTTCTAATTTTTACAAATCAAGGCCAATTAGCTTAAACTTTGCAACCTTAGAATGTCAAATTGGAAGATCTATATAAACAAACCAAACAAAACTTCATTATTTAAAATTATCTTAAATAAAAAATGCATTTTCTACTAATTTAGGGTTGTATTGTGCAAATGCTCCTTTGTTCACTTGAACATTAGTTAATAGGACCTTATCCACATTAACAAGAAGGCCGTGTGTTCCCGTTTTCATGACTTTTACGTTTTCATGAATTTTACTTTTTTTTTCCTTCTTCTTTTGCCTTTTTTCCTACTGGACCTTTTGGGCTGCCCGGCGTCTGCCCACCAGAAACCTTCGGCCTTTGAATGGATAGCTTCTCGTTCAACGTCGCTGCTTTCGCAATCTCTCGAATTGTCGCATTCCAATTCCTCATCTCCAGGAGCTTGATTGCACTCGCTGCGCCATTTCCTGCATTCGGTAAGCTCGCACAATACCCACGAATTCAATGTCTCCGTTTAGTTTCGTTTCTACACCTCCAATTCGGTTTTGCAGGTAGTTTACTTTGATTTCGAACGTTGCGCTTATCTCGTAGCTGGGCGCCCTATCAAGAGGACAAAAAGAAGACAGCCGGATTGTGTAGTTTATGTATTGACGGATGACTTTATTGGTGCTGCAGAGGTTTGCGAAGGTTTGCAATTCGTTTCCGTGCTAGACTTTGGGATTAGGTTTTTGGACGGGAAGAGAGAAGGGAGAAGGGCCGATTGCCGCCGTGGAGATCATGGCGGCGGGGTGTTTAGTGCCAGCCGCAGCCGGTAGGAAAGCTGAGTTATGGCATTCTGCATCGTCGTCCTTGTCCCCAACGTCCATACGCAACAGCTGCTTTGTTTCCATGTCGAGGAAGGATACCGACATGGTGGTGCTAAGGGCAAGTAGGAAGATATCCACTCCTCAACATCTCCATAACGAGCTGACGCGGCCCTTTGTGGGTAGCAGCATGCAGAGCTCCTTAGCTGGGGAAGGAATGTTTTCAACCTGGAGATCATTGGAGAGAACACAGGGCCGTGGGCGCCGGGGCGTTGTTACCATGGTTATTCCATTTCAACGGGGAGATGCTCGGCAGCAGCCACCTCCAGATTTGCCTTCATATTTGTTTAAGAACCGTATTGTCTTCTTAGCAATGTCGCTCGTCCCAGCCGTCACCGAGCTCGTAATGGCTGAGTTGCTGTACTTGCAATACGATGACCCAGAGAAATCCATATACATGTATATCAACTCCACGGGTACCACCAAGGATGGTGAGAAGCTGGGATATGAAACCGAAGCGTTTGCCATATACGACACTATGCGCTATGTGAAACCTCCCATCTTCACGTTGTGTGTTGGTAATGCTTGGGGTGAAGCGGCTCTTTTGCTGGCGGCAGGCTCCAAAGGAAATCGTGCTTGTTTGCCTTCTGCAACAATCATGCTCAAGCAGCCAATTGCCCAATTCCGGGGTCAAGCGACTGATATTGATATTGCTCGGAAGGAAGTTCGTAACGTGAAGGAAGAGCTGGTTAAGTTGCTCTCAAGACACACAGGACAGTCTCCTGAGAAGATTACTGATGATATTAGGCGGCCAAAATACTTCAAACCGGACGAGGCTGTGGATTATGGCATCATTGACAAGGTTCTGTATGCTGAAGGAGACGAGAAGAGGAGTATAGCTTCGGACCTCAAGAAAGCTCAATTGATCTGATCAACCATATGACAGGTATCTATCCATTTGCAATTTAGACTTTTAGGTAGTTGGCACATTGAAGCTAGGACTAGTCTGGCCTCTTTCTGTAGATCTGTAGGAATTGTATCTTTAATGAGCTCCAACAGGAACATAATCGAGGCATGCAATGTGAAGAATGCTGATGTTAATGAGCACTTTGAGCTGTACATCGAATCTTAATGTAAAAGATACCTTAGCATTTCAGACTTTGTCGGTAAACGCAGGTGCTTTCTGTCTTCCGGCTTCATTGTAGATCCGTTATTGTAGATCTGTTAAACCCCCAGGCCATCAGATACATTTTCTTTCAATATTTAGGCTCTCGGAAATTGAAATTTGTCATGACCGATCAATTAGATCTTTTGATCCTACATTAGTTGTGACAATCTCGTTGGTTTCTCTGTCCATTGGATGATTTGTAATTGTTTGCTCTTTATCTAGAACCCTAGTTCAGCAGCAGATAAAGGCTGGCATCACATGTACCATATGAACTTCTTACTAAACAATTTAACCTCTTCATTGGTGAGGTTGAAGGTTAGAATTAACGAGGTTGATCGATTCTTTATTTTTCAGCTGTTAGGAAGCAGGAAAGCAATTTTTTCAATAGAAACCAAACTTGATGTGTGAATACATAGTTTTCATAAAACCTGACAACCCGCCTATCCTAACCGTTGACTTTAAAAAGTTCACATCTAGCGTTGTATGCTATCAGGATTCTAATGTGGAACGAAGGTCATTAGAAACTAAGTCTTGCCATCAGTAGTTTCGGTGTATCAAAACTAAAGAGTCATAAAACGGAGTTTCCGTGATTTTGAATACGATGGCCGTGCTTGAGCTTGAACATGTGGAAGCACTTGACATTCAGGTAATACCCATCCCTCTGGTGAAATACTACTGTTTATCTTAAGGGCCTACTTAGATTATAAGCGGATCGGGAAAGTTAGAGATCTCAGTACAGTAATGTGCATTGAGTAATGTAGGGGTGGACAACAACGGGTGCCTCAAATAATCGCTGGGCTTGCTACAATTCAATCTTTGAGCTTTCAGACACTGCCTGTTCGTGCTCCTGCCATTATTGTTGAATATACTCAATTTAGTAGCAATCCTAGTAGACACAGTACAAATAGGATTGTTCATACTATAATCCTTAATACAAATTGATTGGTTACAAATCTACACCATCAACAAAATTGATACCAAAATTTCAACACTTAAACAAGGTTAATAAATTTCTCATTCAGCATTGGGAAGGACACGAAGAAAATGTGGACAAAATTTGTACCAACAAGACCTACAAACCGACTGGAAAAACCATGAATTATTCGCAGGTCTAGCTGTACAAATCATCCTCATCTGCAGCATCAGTACCAAAGGCCGAAGGAGCTTCCGCGGCACTCGGTGCTCCAGCAGCAGCTGGGCGATCTGGAAATCGAAACTCTGATCCAAATCCACGCGACTGCTGAAGAGTCTGAGCAAATGCTTGGTATTTCCGGATGTCAGCATCACTCACACTACGACGAGCATATTTCATTGCTTCTTCGAAGTGAGATGCCTTGATCTGCGCTACTTCTTCTACCTCATCTTCTTCCATGGCTTCAGGATTCTCCGCTCTCCTCTTTTCCCTCTCAATGTCCTACAATGAGCCAAAACAGTGAACGTTAAATCTCAAGATGCCAAGTTTCAGCTTGTCCTGCTCTCAACTTCATTTACATGCTTTAGTACAGAAAAATGGAGAGTTTTGTGACGGACAAGTCTTGAGCTATAATCGTGCAAAAGTGACATACGATTGCCGTATGTAGAACACAAAAGTGAACACACGACCCGAAGTCATAAAAAAAAAAAAAAAAAAAAAAAAAAAACGTTGAGGGATAACAGAAACCAACCTTTTCGATGTTTTCACGAATGGCGTACTTGCAAGCGCGCTGGCAGATTTCAGTGATATCTGCCCCACTGAAACCTTGTGTGTACCTGGCCAGGGCTTCCAAATCCACCTCCTTGGCTAGAGGAGACTTCCTTAAAGCTGCCTGGAAAATCCTCAAGCGAGAGGCTTCATCTGGTAGGGGAATGTAAATGAGCTGATCCAAACGTCCAGGTCTGAGAAGTGCAGAGTCTATAATATCAGGTCTATTAGTTGCCCCAATGATGAACACCGTCTTTTTGGCGTTCATACCATCCATCTCTGTAAGCAGCTGGTTTAAGACACGATCCGCAGCACCACCAGCATCACCCTGACTGCTGCCACGCTGTACAAGCGTACACAGAAGACATATAGTCAGCGCTTGCATATTTGCTAGATATGTATAGCAATCAAATACTACACGTGATATTAACAGCATTACTGAGATTCTGTTCAGCAAAGTAATTGAGATCTGCAAAAATGTATCCTTGAAACGTTACCTGATTGGCGATCGAGTCAAGCTCATCGAAAAAGAGAACACAAGGAGCTGACTGACGAGCCTTGTCAAATACATCTCGCACATTCGCTTCACTCTCACCGAACCACATGGTCAACAGCTCGGGCCCCTTCACACTGATAAAATTGGCTTGACATTCATTGGCAATTGCCTTGGCGAGCAGCGTCTTTCCACACCCAGGCGGACCATAGAACAATACACCCTTAGACGGCGACATTCCAAACTTCTCAAACTTCTCAGGATGCTCAACTGGATATTGCACAGTCTGCCAATTCAAAACATAGTAAGAAGAACAGTTGAAGCCAGATACAACAGCAGATTCGTACAAATTACAAGCTCCGAAACGTGAAACTATATGAAATTTAGGAGTTATTTTCTCGATGATCAATGTATTGCCAACTCTCTGAAGAGAATTGCGCCATCGATTAATTCCATTAATGACGCCAACTTTAATGTACCCAAGAACAACTCGACATCATAACAATAGAGCGTCAACGTTCTCGATTGAAGATGAGTATCCATATAGTGGGTCAAGACATAAGAAGTACCTCTTGGAGCTCCCGCTTAACATTCTCCAGACCTCCAATGTCTTCCCAGGTAGTATTCGGTACCTCAACCACTGTCTCTCGAAGAGCAGATGGATTGCTAATACCAAGTGCGGTTTGGAAATGTTCATTCGTTACAGCCATAGAGTTTAGCACTTCCGCATCAATTGTATCATCTTCTAAATCTATCACATCCATCTTCTCACGAATACATTGCAGTGCTGCTTCTGTGCAGAGTGCCGCCAAATCAGCACCAACAAATCCATGAGTGTCGTGAGCGATTCTCTCCAAATCAACATCCTCAGCAAGCTTCATATTCTTAGTGTGAATACGAATAACTTCCAACCGACCAACTTCATCCGGGACCCCAATATCAATTTCACGATCAAACCGGCCGAAACGTCGAAGTGCAGGGTCAATACTGTTTGGGCGGTTGGTAGCTCCCATAACAATGACATGGGCACGGGATTTTAACCCATCCATGAGGGTTAATAACTGCGATACAATTCGCCTTTCCACCTCCCCTTGAGTCTTTTCTCTCTTGGGTGCAATGGAGTCAATCTCATCAATAAAAATAATGGATGGCGCATTTTTCTCCGCCTCCTCAAAAGCCTTCCTTAGATTACTCTCGCTCTCACCAGCCAGCTTGGACATGATTTCAGGGCCATTGATGAGGAAAAAGAATGCCCCAGTTTCATTGGCCACAGCTCTGGCAATCAACGTCTTTCCGGAACCAGGAGGACCAAATAAAAGAATACCCTTAGGCGGCTTAACACCAATGGACTTGAAAAGCTGCGGATGCCGCAAAGGTAACTCTACCAATTCACGGATCTGTGCCATCTGCTTGCGGACTCCACCCACGTCATCATACCCAACTTCATCTAATCTTTCCTCATCCTCACGCCTGAATTCCAAAAAACATAAGAATATAAATAAAATACAAAACCATCGTAAGTCTCTAGATTCGGTATCGATGAACTCATATGAAAAATTGCCAAGAAACTAAACCAATATCACATATTGCAGAAAATCAACAGTGCAAAAATAATCCTAACCTATAATTCCATGCAAATGCACATGATTTAAAACTGGCGGACTAAGGTTCAATTCTACAACGATTGCTAACCTCAAAGGCTCGCCTTCGCAAAAGATTTCTGTATCAGGAGCAACGATGCAGTACTCTGCAGGGTCTGTCTCAACAACTTTAAATTCCACACTCCTCATACCTCCTCGCACCAAGAATAAATCACCTTTGCGGACTGGTCTGTAAGCTTCCAAAAAGTAAGCTGCACCGAAAACACAAATTCTCCGTCAAAACCTGATGACCTAATTCAATTATGAGATTGCATGTAAAACAAAAGCAGCGGTTTCAAAAAATGTTGCAGACTAGATAGGAACGGCGTGCCAAAACAGATCAAGTTAAACCAAGTTGGTACTTACGCTTCAAGTAAGCATCGAATAGGTTTCCAGTCACACCCTCGATTGAGTCATCAAACGGCAGTACATGAATCCGTTTACCATATTTAACATCCGGACATTGGTGAACTGATACCACATCTCCAAGGCGCACCCGAAGATTGGCCCTTACCACCTTGTTCATGCGTATTTTATGCTCATCGCAGGTGTCATCTGATAAGACAATGCACACAGTATCTTTGCGTTTCTTACCCTGCAAAACACAAGGGGGAATGGATAAAATCAGATATACTAAAACACTGCACTCGAATCATTTGCCAACAATCTGAAAGGATACATTTGACTTCATACACTCGCATATTTTAACCGAGGATTAATGCTTGCAAGAGAACAATGAACAGGAAAAAACTGTGATATAAACCTTGATCAGCACGGTGTCCCCACGAAATAGCTGCAACTTTTCCATAGTCTCCATACTTAATGCTACCACCGAATTATCATCATTCACAGCCTCATCGACAACCAAACGGTTCGGAGCCTTCTTGCGCTCCAAAATAGCGGTGGAAAAGTCTTTCTTTGGCTTGCTGTATCGAAGAAACATGCAGAATGTTCAGTAAGTGAGAGAAAATATGGGCAGCCTCGGACTAGAACGTTACAAATTCATGTCAGATGATCGAGCTCCACCTATCACGTGCAAAACAATTCCAGCATCACTTCATCAATCATAACATCCAATCAGATATATACAGTCCCAAGTTGTTGTCTCAACGCACAAAAAAGAGACCATGATGGCGTGCTAAAAGATGGCAATTCAAACTGTAGTTCTTCCGTCATTTCAATCAAGAAAATAACCACAAAAAACAAAAAAAACAAAAAAACAAAAAAAAAAAAAACGTCTGAACGGACTTCTACCTATACTCTGAAACTAGTAGCTTCTCAGTTTTGAAGACCCCAGCAACATTAATAAGTAATAAAAACTAATACTATCAAGTTACCCACTAAATTTCATTGCTTGATACGCAGTGAAAAAAAATCTGAAATTAATACAGCATGTCACCTATAATAGGCGTCCCTACCCACAACGGACGCTACTCCAATTAGCACAAAGCTCTAGCTTCGCATTGCAAACAACACCCAATGACCATTACGCCACCGAGAGCAATCCGCTGATCTTGTAAGCAAGAACCAATCAAGATTCAATTTCGAATTTGCCCATCAATAACATAATCTAATGGGTGCGTTGAGGTGCATAATTAAACGACATCGTAGAGATGCAAGACGAGAGTCGGTCAGACAGGAAACCCTAGATTACTCCACAAACATCACAAAACCCCCTACCACGCTCCAAAAAGTACCCCAAATACAAATCAACCAACAAACCACGCTAGTCCCACATTTTACATCCCACCACATCGAATTCTGGCTGCGATTTCAGTTCTAGTTCGCAACCCGCTGTCAACACCCCACGAATCCATCACCAAAAGCCAAGCTCCGCACAACATATCACTCCTTGAACAGATATAATACTGCCCGGTGCGAGAGATCCTTACGGATCCGAGGATTTCCCAGCAGGTCCAGCCGCGGGAGTCGCCATGGCCGAATCTCACAACTTCAATTCGTTCTCCAGGGAAGATCGACCGTTTTCGATGTCGTTTTCCAAATTAAATAGAAGTTACTCCCCTCCCTCCGATCTACAAAATACTAGGCATCGACCCAGCCCAAACAGCGGTGCGCTGCGTTGCGAACACAATTGAAATGGGGGCAGCGGACGAACTCGGAGCCGAGACCTACTCCGACGCGAGATCTTCATACGAAGAGGATGGCGAAGAAAAGGCGAAAGGCAAGGAGCCCTCCAGAAGGTTCCTTTTACCTCATAGGACAACGATGAGTTTATTTTTGCCATCCTCGTAACTTTATCCATCCATATTCTTGTCGTGGATCAATTTGAGCCGCAGGATTCTCAATCTGCGTAAGCGATCTCGATGTGCGGTTGCGATTCGGATTCGTTAGGCGACGGAATCTAAATGTTTGATAATGAGGAGAGTGATGATGCCACTGGGCCTATCGTGTGTCGCCACGCGGAAGTATAGGAATATCTTTGTTTCTAAATATCGTGGGAAATTCAAAAAGTGTACACTGGGGTCATTACATCGTCACCGCATTAGCTTCCTGTTTTTTTGCAAAGTTGCTTTGACCCCACATGCGTCTTATTGTTGCCCAGTTAAGCTATTCTGGATGCACATTTGCTCAATATTTCGTGGATGATAGTCCAAGTCCTCATCCTCTAAAATTCAAACTTATTATTCCTATGCTTAATGGACACCGTTGGATTTGGATACAAACCATTCAATGAACAAACTGCCACCTTTACAATACACAACAAAGCATGCTTTATAGAAAAATGGGTCAATGATTTTTTGGGGACAAGCGCCGCTGTTTTTCCTCAAGAAGCTAGAAACACGACCTAGTAAAGGTGAGCTCGGAGAGCCTATTTAAGACTCTTTAAGACCAAGGAAAAGAGAGCCCTTACTGAAGGTTTCACTAATGCTGCATACAATGGGATGTCATGAAATGAAGTGACGCATTCATGGTGAGCGTGAAATACTTTCATGCTCGGTCTTTCCGGCTTTCTCAGTGTGGCTGGTTTAGGGTGGAAGGAAGCATATCGACAAGTTTACAGGTTTTCCGTTTCGGCATTGCAATTCCTGCTGGTACTGTTCCATGGCAGCACAGGCAGCGATGTAGAAGTCGTTTCGGTGTCTACTTGTGCCTGAGTGCAAGCTGGAAGCTTTAGAACCCTTCAGTTCGGATGTTAGCACAAGATTCTACTGATCTGCCATTGGGTTCACAACTGCGCCGACTGTGAATCTTGCAGTGGTCGTTCTCATGCCCAACTTGGCAGTGAAGAAAGGAGCTATGAGACCATCGCATCTGCGACTTGAAAAACTGGTGAATACCACCCCAGTGATTTTGATGCTGCAAGCGAACTGATGAATCGATTGTGAGGCCACTGTTGAGGAACTCAGTAGTGCAATTTTCAGCTTATAGGAGCATCTGTTCCTGGATCCGCATCGTTCCTTTGCCAACCACTGCCAAGCTCCAACGATAACCAACAGTAAAGCATTTTGTCGCCACATGCACTTTAAGTCCTTGATTTCTCAAATATTACCGCCGCACTCAGGATCTGGAGTCGAAGTTATTCAAGAATGATGAGCCACTTCGACTAGAACGCGATGACATAGAGTCACTTGAGTAATCCGAGACCACGAGCATACGCATGAGCTCGTTCGCCTTGCGTTTGGCGCGATCGGAGCCAATCACTGATAAGCTACACAACATGGAAACAATCTGGTGGTTGTAGAAAGCCACTCTTTCTAATATAATTTCGTTGCTACCCTTGTAGAGAGCCAGAAGCACTGATAATGCATTTTCCCGCGACCTTGGCGAACCTGCTCTTAGAATCTCAACCAGAATTGGAAGTGCGGAGGCTCCAACAATAGCAATGGCACCTTCTTCGCAGAGGGCGAGTATAGCGAGCACGGACAGCGAGTCGTCTACGAGACCGGAGCCCCTATCACGCACATATGACATCAGCACTTGCACTACTCCCTCCTCGACCAACCTAGGCTTGTTGGCGTCATGCAAGGACAAGTGAAACAGACCCTGTAAGCACACGAGAATGACAACAATTTTTAGAGTCACAAGTTCCAAGTAGCGAAGAGTCCAAACCCTGGCGCAGTTGCTGTTTTCGATAAAACCATTGCTAGTACCATCACCTCTCGGTTCTCAATGAGGATTGGATCGAATGCTTGATCGAGATATTGTTATTTACAAGAACATCACAGGTAAACTGCATAGTAGAAGTTAAGCAAGGATTCACCTTGATGGCGTCTTTTTTGCCACGATGCCTTGGAGCGTCGCGCAAAAGCGCCAGGAGGGCAACGATAGCCAAGGGATGTCTTCCCACTACGTCACGGTAATCTTCCACGATCAAGAGGCTGAAAAGAGTAGCAGCAGCGTTCTCCTTGGACGCTGCTGTGTGGCCCCAGCGGATAACATTCAATATGGCTTCCAAAGCATTCTGTGTCTGCGTGATGCGCACGCGAACCAGTGGGTTGATGGAGAGGTTTAGGAGAGTGGTGATGACGTTCTCTTGCAAGTCTGGATCAGAAGAGTGCAGGAGGGGCAACAAGGCCTCGATCCCCCCCGCTTCAGCAATTGGACCCCTACAACTCTCATCAACTTTCGCCATCATCCGTAAATCCTTCGCTGCCGCTTGACTCTCTTTCAAGCTCTCACTATTGAGCCTAGCCACAATCTCTGCCGCAACTTCGATATCCTCTTCCTCCCTTTCGGATTCTTCCATATCTTTGAGCCTCTTAAAGCCAGCCCTCCCCTTGCCTTAAATTGGTGTACAGAATACTAAAACAGACATCAATTCCTTCTGTCTGGTTCTTTCTCACGCCGTATCTAAGACCCAAATCTAATCAGTGGCGATGTCACAGTTTCCTTTGAATATGGATCAACTCCTTCACTACTGCTATAAACGGACTCGGAAGTTGTAGGTCACCAATATCGAAATTCTCTCAAAACCCCAACCACGATCTCACTTCTCAACATCAAAACTGGCTCTTCTTCTGCATTGATGCAGTATAAGCACCTTCCTTCCGTCCAAAACTGATAGTACAACCGACAACGAAAAAAAAAAAAAAAAAAAAAAAACCTAAACTATCATAAAATAATGAAGGGAGTGGAATAAAACATGACAAATTGCGAAAGTGGAAACTACGACGTCACGGGCGGCGTTCTAAACTAAAAGGTAGGTTAAAGAACAACCGAAATTCAAAACATAACGGCAAAACTGGCACGTTAGTGACCAGCTCCTCCCTCTCATGGATAACAGTAAAATAGTAAACATTGTCACTGTGAGGTCAACCGAGGAACTCCGACTTCCGTAAATGCAGAACTCAAGCTTCTCTTCTGTAAAACTATAATGGCTTACCCAAAATCCCGATACCAAATTCATGAGATGCCATCGCCACGTTTAGAAAAATGATGGTAAAGCCGCCTCACAATTTGCTACATGAAATTCCGGCCACGCTCAATGTCGTGATCAAGGGGTCCCCACTCAAGAAGATGCAATGCAATCTTACGCGTCAAGGAAAGCACAAAACAATATCGTTCAACATTTAATGCAAAAGCATATCGGGCGTGACAATCAGACTAGTTGCTCACAAGCCAGGATAACTTTCATTACTTTCTTTTCATCTGACGAAAAAATTTCTCCTTGACTTGAATTCCATCCTTCAACTAAAATATCTCACCCGACTCCCCCACCCTTGCAAACTAATAGAGGCTCGGAAGTAGCCATCCCGTCACAGCAAACGTGTCGCCGTCATCCAAAGCCTGCATCGACAGGTGTATATCTCGACTCGTTCATGTAAGACTTGGTCCTTCCTGGAACATCTCACCGACCCAATTGCGGTTGAGAATAAACCGACACGAAGATAATTTGTGAACAATCACGCACAAGTTAGCGTTTATTTCTTGCTATTGGTCAACCAGAAGCACAGTGTTTGGGGGTAAGACGAAACGCGGCGGCTCACATCAAAGAAGTCACACCTCGTTGTTGCGGTTGAAGAAAGCTAACAATTGCGCGGAAGGTGACTACGGTGCGTTGAACGCTCCAGCTCGAAGAGTCTTTGGCGATGGCTTCAGCTTCGACGCTCCCTCACGAATTCAAAAAGAAAAAAAGAAAAAAAAAAAAAAAAAAACGCATTACGCGTTGGTTTCTCCGACGATGAATGGTCGTCATGGATGAATGAATAGAGGCCGCTTTCACACTGCCCTTGGAATCCAGCTTGAAGCCTTGAGTGGTGGAGAAAAATTGTTTGGAGGATTTGAGAAATAAAGAAACTCAACTATATAGATATTAATTTTTAAATTAATTAATAAAAAATATATTAAGAAGTTAATTTATTGATTCCCTCACTTCCCTCTCCTTATGCATGAAGATTTCTAGAAGAGTTCTTTGAAGTAGGATACTATTATAGTATATGCCTTCTATATTCTTTACTTTTTGATTTGTGCTCATGTAATCTCTAGAAATAAGTTATTTTTATTCATTTTATGTTTTAATATTTATAATCGACAATTAGATTGCTATTCAAAATGATAAGAGGAATCAAAATTTTATAGCATTATCTTGATGCATATTTTATAAATATTTAATGGTTAATAGTAAAATCTGACATAGCTCTTAAATCCAAAAAATTGTGGTTTTTAATTTTAATTTAAACTCGAAATCAATTTTGAAACAATGACTTAATCAAATCTTTAATCTTCATTGAATTTCAAATTTAAAGTTTTTTTTTTCCCATATAATTCCAAGTACATAATGGCCATAAAATATTATGATTAAAAACTAAACCTTCATAATAGAAATAGTTCTATTGATTAAAGCTTTATTTTATTTATTTACATATTTATGATTTAAAAAAACTTTTTTTTATAAAATATAATAGTTAATAAAGAAATTTTAAATAAATAGATCTGGATAATTTATTATAATATAAAAATATTATAAAGATATTTTTATATATTTAATTCAATATAATTACCTATTTTATTAAGATTTGTATTATTTTATTTAATCATAATTATATGTAAAATTACAATTCATTAAAAAAATCATAGTTGTTTAATAGTAAGTAAATTGAATTAGAATAATTTTACTTTGTAAATTTTATATTACTAATATGTATTTTTAGATGTTATTTGTTATTGAAAATGATAATGATAAACTTGAGATTTTATTCAAGCTTAATTCTACGAACAATCTTGTTTACAATAATACAACAATAAACATAAATATTATTGTGACTTTAATTGCATTTATTATATCACAATAGATTAAAAACAAATATTTACATGGTTGTATTGATATTCAAATTATATACAACCATATAAATGTTTATAAAGCTTTTGAACACAACTTGTTTCCATGGATCATATAAAAGTATCAAATAAACAAAATTTACATTATTGATAACAATCAAAAAAATTACAAGTACCATTAAATTGGTTGTTATATGTTAGGAAACATAAAGTTGGAGAATAGTGTATTAGAAAAATAAAGAGGATAGAACAGCCAATAAAAGAGTACTAACATTCAAATTATTGGAGATCATGATAAGATAAGAAGATAAGAGAAAGATGAAGCATAGTTTTAAAAGAATATTAAATACTGGTATGAGGGTGAGTCTAAAGGGCATAGGCTCCACCTATATTTTCCTCTTACGTTTTTATTTTTTTAGTTTTAGTAAGGTTTTTATTTTTTTTATTTTTTATGAATCGAATAAAAAGTGATGATAAAAAGCATATGTTACTATTAAAGGAAATTATCACTTCTATGAAAAGACTATCAAGGGGCATTAACAATAGTTAAATACTTGGATTCATTCTTATCCATTTGTACACTTCAAATTTTTGAAAGAATAATCTCCATTCTATTTTATTACTTTGAGGTCTACAATTGACATTTAATATATAATTGGACAATATGTTTTTTGAAAGACTCTTATGTGAATCAATCACTTATTTGACTGGCAAAAAAATTAATTAATTTAGAAAAAAGTTAAAAAGTCTTATAAAATTAAAATTAATAAACATGTGAATTTCTTTTAAATAAAATAGAACAATTCTAAATATTACATATACTTAGAGAAAAATTAGTAAGATAAATAAAAGTTCAAAACTATAAGTAAATTTTAAAATTTTATAAAAAACAAAAATAGAATCATTAAACTTATATGTTAGGAGTTTACAAGACTGATTTTGAGTAAAATTGAATTTAATTTGTTTTTAAGAAAAATAGTACAAAGACTTTAACTAAACATGTTTTAAATTGTGTTATATTAAATAAAAAACATTTCTATTAGTAATTGTTATTTTTAAAATTTTTTATGCTCTCTCTCTCTCTCTCTCTCTCTCTCTCTCTCTCTCTCTATATATATATATATATATATACATAATGTTACTAATTTATTTATTTTTAATTCAAATAGTAATTTTAATTAATACTAATTTAATTTTAAAAATAGAGTAAAGAATATAAACATCAAAATACTTTATAAATATTAAGTTAAAAATAGGATATATGTACTTATATATATATATATATATATATATATATATATATATTCTTTAGAAATAATATATCAAAGTAAGTTATTGATACTATAAAATAAAAAATCAAATCTAAATGTAATTCAGAATAAAAAATAAAAAATAAAACAATACCTTATAAATTTGATATATGCATATATATATAAATTGAATTTTACAAATAGTTCTTAGAAAAAACCAAATAGTATAGAATGCAAGTAAGTAAATATACAGTTTTGGTTTGTAGAATATTTTAAATTTTTATGTAGAAATAAGTTTATTATTAAATTTTCCAACAATTTTTCGTTAAATTTTTCTTGAACCTTTTAATAATAAAGTACATCAAATTTTTATTCTATAAAAAATATAAAATATTTATATTTTTCTTTTTATTTAGTATCACAATGACTATTTAAAATATTATAATAAAAAATATTTTATCATTTTAAAATATATTTATATATAAATTAATAATTTTTTTATCAAAACAATGGATCTTGTAATATAATTGATAATGAATTCATGTTTTATACTTAATTTAAATTTATTAATAACATCTTTTTCTTCAATCCCTCTTTGCAATTTCAAAATATTGATTAAAATAACTGATTGGTAATTTGAACTGATTGATATATTTTAAATGCGCTATAAAAAATTACAAACTGAAAAACAAAGAAAAAATGTAAAACGACCTGATATTTACTAGATACAAAAAGTTTGCAAAGGATTCTAATGAAATAATCAATGTTTTTTTTTAAAAAAACTTCTTGTTGTAATGATTTTGTGTGTGGTTATATTTTAAATTGATTAATAATTATTTATTTAAAAATTATATATATATTTTTTATTATGAGAATGATATTTGATTATTACATTGTTATTTGAGGAAATTAGAATCAACAGAAAATTCGGAATAACCTTCTCAATCTTTGACAATGCTTCTCTATAGAATTTTCAACTCAAAGTCTTAATCATTACAAAGTATGCAAATTTAGGTTTTTTTGAAAAAAAAAAATGCTCACATCATGTTTTTCGAAAAAGAACTCAAATTTATTTTTTTGTTTTTGTTATTTTAATTTTTCATGTTCATCCTTTCATATATATATATATATATATATATATATTAAATCATGATATTAGGAGGGATTGTGTAGAAGCTGCTAAATATCTCAGTTGACTTTGTATATACATTTGGCTTATTTAGTCCCAATAAATTTTGTACTCAACAGTTAAATTATTACTAGCTTATTTTATTTATTTATTATAAAATTATGAAAATTTTATTTTTAAAAACGCATAATTAGTTAAATTTGAATAGTAGTTAACATTTCAAGACAGAATATCCAAGGTATGAAATTTTATCATGTTTTCTACAAAAATATCATTTCTTCATATATTCACAAAGCACTGAAACTGAAAATATATAAAATTGAGTTGAACATTTCATCTTTAAAAATTCGTAATATATATTCGATTTTTTTTCCCAAAAGTAATTTTGGACGGATGTTATTCATTTGCATAAGAATAAATCAGACAAGAAACTCTAATCACTTCATATAGATAATAGCATTAATAATAGTTTATTGATTCTTTTGAGTAACTCAAAACCACATCAGAGTTATTTGTTACATTTTCATTTTCTTTACCTTTTTAGTTTTATATTTGTCTACTAGCAAATAATTTCATGTGTTTTTTCTAATCTCAAATTAAATACAATAAACACTCATTTTAAGGTTTTGTAGGAGAAGGTCAATTGACAAGCTACTTGACATTGTAAATTTTCAATATGTAAGTGATGGTTTGGTTTTAATGTTACAATTTGATTTTAAAATAAACTATTTACTTATTTATTAATATCATAATAAAGTTTTTTTCAAATTAATTTTTTAGTGAATAATTTACATACAAGTCATCAATAAATCAATGTATAAAAAGTCTTAATTTTTAAAAAAAATATAGTATTCTTTTTAAATACTTCAGTTATAGTATAGTATGAGAAGCATTTAAAAATATATATATATATATATATATATATTTATATACACCCTTAATTTTTAAAATGGTTTTTTTAAAATTTGAGTAAGTTTTAATATCATATGTATCCTTCTTTCTGTTCATTATACTGTAGATGTTATAATGTAATAATGTATCAGTGCAGATGTTATAGATACAAACACTATCAATTTTATTCTAGTTGGTATTATTTTGGGAAAAAAATCTTAGATAATCGTTTATTAATCAGCTGGATCATCAATAACATCTAAAACATACCGATTTACTTTTGAATGTGATAATCAGCACGAATATATTTTAGTTCATTTTTCATGTGAGTTTGGTTTGATCAGAATTATTAATCTGATAATTTAAGAAAAGAGTGAAAATTCTCTTTTATCTGCAAAAAAATAAAATAAAAGAAAAGAAAAGGAAGGAAAGAAAGAAAACTTTTGTTTTTTTTTTTGTTAATTCCTTGAATGAATGTTGTTGTTGTTTTTAAAGTTTGAAATGAAGCCCTAACCAAGCCCGTTAAATTTACTGACCATGGAATCAAAACGTTAGTTTTGATTATATATATATATATGTATATATATAGATATTACTAAATATCACATGTAAATGTACAATTTTTAAAATTTCATATTCAAATATATAATTTCTACATATTAAATTCATACCCACTAAATTTTTTATTAAGGTATACCATAAGATTCTCTTCAGTTGAGAGAAACTTTAAACTATGACTCAAACAAATAAACCACAACTCACAAGCAAAATAAAAGGGAAAGTTTAGAATGTGATTTCCTCTAAGATTTTCACAAAAAAAAGAAAAAGAAAAAGAAAAAGAAAGTTGTTTGGTGACTATATTAGATCTTCCATAAAATACATTTTTGCGCATTTCTATTAAAAATTACAAAGATTTGAAGTGACTTTACTTGTTAGAATGGATAAAGAAAAGTGCCAAATGTTTGGAAGAACAGCAAATCTTAAAAAGATACATTGTAATCACTTCAGAGCGGTGGATACACCCATCAGAAGTTGATAATCGTCACGTGGGATGCATACCCGCCATCCTGATGTACCCGGGATGTTCTGATACCTGTTGTTGAGGACTGGGGGACCCTTGTATCAGCAACACCAGAGCGAAGTGTGCGCACTGCTTTCAAGCTTTCCCGCACTCGCTTGGCTTGCCTTTTCCTCTTTGCTAGTAAATTTTTCAATTTGTTGTGTCCTGGCGCTAGATTTCTGCTTCAGCGAAGCCGGTGCTTACTCGTGAAGGATTTGCGAAGTCGTGAAGGTTTCAAAGGAATAGGATTTTTCCAGTCTTGCTCTCCGAAAGCTCCAAAGTGTGTAGTCTGTTTTCGTTTGTTGTGATCGTTTTTTTTTCTTTTTCTTTTGCAACTTCGTGTTTAATCTTGCTCTGGATGGGTTTTTGCGGTCGGCTTTAGGGATATTTTGAGCTTAAGGTTTTGTTTTTTGTGACTGGAATTGCAGAACTGAATGCTTGGAATTACAGATTCTTTCAAAGTTTTTGAAGAGTTTGGGAATCTTGATTCGGTTTGTTTAGGTTTGGTCGGGGACTAGGGACCAGGGTTGTAGATTTTTTCTGGGCGATGGGGGGAGGAGGGGCCGCGCAGGGGGAGGGCGAGGATTTGCCGCAGGCAAATGTGAAGCGCGTCGTGAAGACGAAGCTGCAGGAGCTTGCGTTGGGGCATTATGGTGAGGAGCGGGATGTGTCTGTGAACAAGGATGCGCTCCTCGCGTTCTCCGAAAGCGCCAAAATTTTCATCCATTTCCTTTCCGCGACGTGAGTGCATCAATGTTTTCGCATTTCCCTCCCTTTGTCTGTGTTTGTCCATTTTAGAATTATGTTAGACTTCAGCAATTTTTCATGACTGGTATGAACTACATTGTTCAGCTCCACTGCCTCCTTTTCCGAGAAAAATTCGTACTCACAGATTTCTCAAGGGATTTGTGAGTGTTTTGAGTATTTAGAAAATTCAAGCTTTGAAGAGTAGCTTGTACGCGGTCACCTTCTCTGTCGTCCATTTCCCTCTCTTTCAACGCTCATGTAGAGGCTTCCGTTCCCTGTTCTTTTGTATTTTTTTTTCTCGCTGGAGCGTATTGTGCTGAACTGCATCAAGAGACTTTCTATCAAGTGGCATGGAACGGAACTATGCAGTAATCAAATTGAACTGTTCATAATTTTATGTCCCGTGCAGAGCGAATGAAATATGTCGAGAATCAAAGCGGCAAACTGTCAATGCTGATGACGTGCTCAAGGCGGTAGAGGAATTGGATTTTCCAGAATTTTCTGAGCCTTTGATGCGCTGTCTTGCAGGTTGGTCTTCTTTTATTACTCCTTCCGTTATGTTTGAGTGCGATATCAAGAACTTTGTAAATACTTAGAATTGGCATGGATTTCTTTCGGACTGTGTAAGTTGCTGTAGCGGTTGGCAGACAAAGCTATTTCATGCTTACGTGTCAAGCTGAAAATTCGCATTTTTTCTAGAATTAGTTTTACAGACTTGTACTGTTAAGTTTTTTCTGCGCTAAGATTAGCTACTCATTGCAGCATTTCGAAAGGACCAAGAAGCTAAGAAACAAGACAAACGTAAGAGTTCTGGTGCATCCACGCCCAGGAAACGAAAGTCCGACGGAAATTTTGTTGACGATAACCCTGCTGCAAACGAAGACTACGAAGATGGAGTGGCAATGGCTGACGATGATGACACAACAGACAACTAATCATCCTCATATCCTGCGTATGTGATTTACTAAGGATGCTCATGCAGTTTGACACCATCGACTTAAGACGAGGAGCAAGGAGGACTCTGGAAGTCTGTCTCCAGCTTCTTATTCGAGTTGCAACACGCTGCCTCATAATTGGCTGTCCAATTGGTGCTTGTGATAGATCTGCATCTGCGTGCATCCAATGTTGTTGGTTATTTTGGAACTTTGTCGAGTGGGAAGGGGCATTGCTGAGGTGTGACCGCTCATTCACGAAGCAAGTGGAGAATGAAGCACTGTCCCAGCTTCATATGCTTGTTGACGCCAAGAGGAGCAGAATGTGCACCTTCTGAGCAGAGTTAAGAGTCAAGGCAGTTGGTTGCCTGTGTATAGTCTGTTTGTACGAAAAGAGGGGCTTGATTCCATAACTTTTTTTTATGTTGTGACTCGTGTGGTTTGCGCTTCTCTAATTTTCTCATGTAACAAGAAATGTTTCCAAGTTTTTCATGTACTCTCTGAGAGGGTATTCAGCTTAACGTTTCTGGTCTTCTTCGGCTATGCCTTCACGTATGCATAACCTTGTACGGCTTCGGCGCTGTAATAAATCATCCACACACTGAGCCGTGCGACATGGGATTTGAAGAAAGTTTGAATGTGCACCAACGTCAAGACTTGATTCCGCTGTGACCCCGACCTCTTTGCAAGCTCTGCACCTGGTTGGGACTCTTGCCACTGATGGATGTGAACCTCTAAATCCATCCTTCATCATGTTGTCTCTCTGATTACATACGAGCATTGAATACCGACCTTCCACGTTCCAATTTAATTGTCAGAATAGGATCATTGACTACTGCCGTTCAATAACTTCAAGTTGTTCAGAGATTAATCAACCAGCGCTCTTGTGCTCATTACTTAGTTGCTCGGCATTGGCCTTTACTTGGCTTAGAGATTATGAGTACCAATCTTTGTTTGTTCAAAGTTCCGGCTATTTTGCTATGAATATTTACCATTCGTTTTAAAAATATATCAAGGGCAAAAGTTAACCAAGGAGTTTTTCCAATTTCAATCAATTACAAGTTTTGAGAGTTAAGGCATCACATTTTCTCTTTTAATCATGAAGACTTTCTTTAAAGAATCAACATTTTCTCCTCTAAGCATGAAGACTTCTTCAAATAATCAACTTCTTTACTTGTAATTTTGTATAATCAAATGTAGCAAGTTTGGAATAAAAAAGGTATTAAATATATATATATATATATATATATATATATATATATTGTCTAGATTAGCACCAAGATTTCAAAGAGATGTTATGTTCCAATTACCTATGAACATGTCTAAAGTCAAATTTGCATCTACAAAGCTTCTAATAAATTTTCCAACAAAATATTAACATTTCAATCTACTTTTTACTTATTATTATTTAATTTTACTCCATTTCTATTTATTCAAGTAAATATCCTAGTAACTATGGATGTCTATGATAACATTATATGAACATATTAGTATGGATCAACATTTGGTGTGATTTTAAATTGTATTTTTAAAAATTTTTGGATTTAGAAACTTATAAAGAATATTATGTTTGCCTATTAAGGTTAAATTTAGATAGTATAGTATATCATTGATTAAATATTTTTGCCTTTTTATATCTTTTCTTTGGGTTTATATTTATCTTTACAATTATTTTTTGTAATTTGTGCTTTTTTAGTGCCTCTATCATAAAGCATTGGTTTCTAATAGTGTACAAAATATCTTCATCATTTGAATATTATATGATGTTTCATTGCTCAAGTTGATGTTTGAGATTTAACGGTGAAGTATTAAGCTTATACTTATAATAAAGAATTTATAAAGTTATAGATTTAAGATTAGAGTATTTTAGTTTTTATTCTATATTAATAAGCATTATATTTTTAAAATAATAAAAAAATCTAGATAATATGTTTTAAGGTATGATTTAGGATTTAAGATATAATATGTTCTTTATGATTTTTGAGCTTAGTTGTATGTAAATAGAAAAACCAAATTGTAAAGAATTTATACAATATTTAAGTAAGAAATTATCTACTTCTATATAGATGTTGTAAAAAGGGTTAAAATTAATTAATACTTATTGTCATTTTCTGAAAGGCTTAATGGTATTGTATTGCAAAAATTATGTATAAATAAAGATATTCAACTTATATATTATTTCATGAAATGAATAAAAGATATTCAAGAAGAGGGAGAGGAGGAAGAGGGAGAAGGGAAGAGTAGAATAGACACTTGTTTTTGTAAAAGATGGACCACATGTTCTAAAAGACAGACATGGAGATGTATAAATGTATCCAACAAAATGGTTGGGTATGAAAAAGTGTAGATGTATCCAATAAAATAGTTATGCATAAAGATCACAATAAAGATTATTTTTATTTTGAATAAAACTAAGAGCTATTATTATTATTCTTATTATTATTATTATTATTATTATTATTTTAAAATAAATTTATCTTTAATTAGATTAAATTATCTAAATAATATTAAGTTTTTTTAAATTAATTTAATAAAAGAAAAGAATTCAAATTTATCATGGAATAATTAAAGCTAAACTTATGTAAAATTTTAGAAAAGAGGCATAATTCAATAAGTAACTAACTGAATCTAAGTTGTTGTAATTGAAAGTATGATTCTATTTTTTTAATTTCTAAAAAAAATCATAAAATTCAAAATCATATACAAATCCTTGAATATTTCTATACCACAAGATATCCACCTCAAAAACATGAAAAAAGAAACATGTAGCTTGATGGATGTACTTCTACCTCATAGATAAAATTAAGTAGATGCACTTTTTGTCCGTGGATGGAAAAAAAGTGATAAATACAAAATAAATAAAAAATTTAAAAATCAAGTTTTTATAATGTAAAGAGGTTAAATTTTTTATTTTTTGTTCAAATTTTATATTTGGCAAAAACTCAACTCTCTTTCACATAGTAAGTTACTTGCTTAAATGATACTCCAAAAAGTGATCTAATAAGGTGTCCTACAAGTTTAATTTCAAATACAAATTCTTGCAAGGAAAAACTTTAATACTCTCTTAAAAAATACGAAGTTCTCTACAAACAAACATATTTGTGATTTTTAAAACTTCATAGGTATCAAAGTGGTATAAATATAGTTTCTTTAAGTAAATCCTATTTGAATTTAAGCCAAAAAATAATACTTACTTCACTACAACTCCATGGTACAATTTCAGAAAATTCCTTATTCCATTGCATCTCACTAATTATTATCAAGGATAATAAAAGTGCCTTCAAAAAAGAAATGAGTTGCATGATGTCTCTTGCATTGGCATACTTTTAACGAAGCTTATTGCTTGACCCCTGAACAACAACCTACTTATTTAATCAACCATTAGATCCAAATCAACATAAAGAATCAACTTGAACAAAATTAAATGACAAATAATAATAAAAAAGAGTCCAAAAGCACAAAATACGTATCTAAAGAGATGTCTTGTCTAATAGAAATATCAAAATAGGACCTTAGGCTTTGCAATTAAAGTATAAGTAGAAATAGTACATCCTTCTTTGCTTGAGTTGATGTTGTCAAATTCAACTCCATTGAATGGCAAAGTGACATTTTGTATAAAAAAACTATCAATACCAAAAAATGTGGCTTCTTTGAAAGCACATTGAAAGTTAGAATGTATAATATCCATCCAAAACTACAGCTTCTCAAAAGTATTAAAAACATCAATAATTTTTGTAATTATTTCTTTTTAAATTTTTTATTTAATAAAAATAGAATAAAATCAATACACTTTAGATAAACATCAATGCATGGAAAAAAAAACTCTCTTACACAAATAACATAGTTGACACACACCTTGTAGCATGTCTTGGTGCAAAACTAAAGTATTGATAGAAAAATTTGCTTCATTAGAACATCCTTCAAATTAAAAAATGTCTAAATTTTTTGTGCATGAATCTATATAATAAGCCAAAATAACTTGATTTGTGATATAATGGTTTCAAAAAAGAGATATGTCAATATATATATATATATATATATATATATATATTATTTTATATATATATTATTTTTTTAGTTCAAACATTATTCACAAGTGGTAGAAATTCAATCTTCTTGACATTATTAACACATTAATCTTGTGCTATTTCAAGCGTTTCGGCATTAATTGAATGCAACTTAACATGTGTAAGTTTGAAAAGATCCTCTTGAGCTAATTTGGAGGCTATATATATTAATTTTCTTTCTACAATTGTTGAATTTTTAACAGATCTATTAGAATGCTTTTTAAATTTGAGAGATTTATACAACAAAAGTAAAAATATGGGCATAGAAGCATATATTGTAATTGCCACTATAATTTCAATTTGTAAATTTTATGCACTAATAATAAAAAATAGTATAAAATCTAAAATATTATTTACAAAATACATTAGATATTAGGACAACAGCTATAAAGCTTGAGGAGGATCCAATCTAAGTGGATTGCAAAGATTGAGATAGGAACTAAACCTGAAATAAAGTCATCAAATATGCACAGTCATATAGGACAACAAAATATTTGACAAGTTCTAAAATCCTTCACAGTCTAATGTCTAGCCAATTTAAAAAATTCTCTCTTCTCAAAGAGGCCATACTCAGTAAAAAAATAAACATCCATATATATTTTTTTAATTTAATTTAATTCAAAAATATGTAATTAAAAAAAATGTGAGTGCAAACATAACAAAGTAAGAACTAATAGAGGAGGTCTTTTGTGTATCATGTAGAATCCACCTTCATAGATGTATACAAAATTCCTTGATGTATGCCTTTCCTATTGTTTTACTATAAAACACCTTGTAAAATGCCCTATAGAATGCCTTGATGAACTATAAAACTTTATTAAGTAAATATAAAAAATTATAAAAGATTCAATTTGCCAATTACTTATTTGTGGCAATTGAAATTATTGCTATATAATTCTTGGTCTTTAAATTTATTACAAAGGCCTATATTTCTTAAAATTAATATAAGATTGATAAAGTTAAAAAAGAAAATTCAAATTCTTTGCAAGAAAGATAAGATAATTTAAAACATCTTTAAAAACAAAGAAGATTCTCATTGTCTTAGATGATGTGAGAAGTAAAAGGTAATTTAATGAACTATTAAATATTAATAAGTTTAAAGATGATAAAAATAATAAATTAATTATAATTATTTGTACTTAGAGGTCTTTAGAACAACATGTAGTAATGCATAAAAGAGTATATTTAAAAATCTTTGATAGAATTTAATCTATAGAATTATTTTCTATGTATGCTTTTGCAACCAATTAACTTTTTTTATTATATTTAAAAAATATGGCTAAAAATATCATTAATATTTTTAGTTGACTCCCATTGAATTTAAAAGTCATGTATAATTACCTAACAAGATACTAATGATTGAAAGAATAAATAATATTGAGAATTTTTCCATACATGATCAATTGCATAATATGAGCAATATGC